GAGGATGTGCAGCGAGAAATGCAGCTGAAATTCAGTGGTTGTGATTGCCCTTTGCTTCAAAAGTATTGGACGCTGCAGGCCGGTCGTTGAAATCAAATGAGCCACCAGCCACTGTCAAAAGATGCGTCTACTGAGCGTGGAAAATCGAAGTTCCCCTGGTTGTAGACAATTCGCAAGTATTTTTTGTGGTCCAAATTTAGTCAGCCCCCCGTGACTCCCAGATTGACCATAGACGGCTGGATGGTTCGACAGAGCGTCACATGAATGATCATGTTGCACCGCGCCTGCAAGCCCGCCTGAGTCAAGGTGGCCGCCAAGTCTAACCGTTGGCCTGCTTGGCTTTCGGAACTGCTTCACCGATGTGGGCTCTGGGGTTATTAGGCCATAATCAATCCACTATTCCGGAAACCGTGCTACAAATTACGACACTAAGATTTCCTTTTCAGAACCGTGCCGGACTCCTCTTGGCCTCAGCGTGTAACCGTTCTCAACTTGAGTCGAATGAAGGGGCATCGCTTGCTACTTCCTCAGAATGTATCTTTACGGGGACTGCTGCCTGGGTTCGACATCTTTTCAAGTGGCTCAAACAGTACTGCTGCTTGCATGTACGCAAACAGAAGGCATACTGTAATTATGTGAAACCCCATTTGCTAGTTGTTTTGCAGTGGGACTCCCCGTCGTTTCCCTTCAAAACCAATAGGAGGGGGTAATCCTCAAACAAACACACCCAATTCTTAGTTTGGCTCAACCACTTGCCACAGCAAGGCTATCCGCAGGGTGCACGTTGGGCATCGTTGGGCCCCTTGATGAGTGCAATGGACCTAAGGAGTGTTGCATAGAAATGCGGGGCTGCTTCCCACTTTCATCATACCAGGCTGCGCACCACTCAGCTGGTGAACAGCGAAATCATTGGCATGGGAACCTCGTTGTTGTCAGGGTCTTGCATCAGAATGACGCTTTTGGTGGGGAACAAGGTTGTTCGAACACATACCTTTGTCGCTTGACCAGCCCAGTTTCTTACTGTCAAAAACGGAAACACGGTAACTCGACCAGTCCAGAGGCATACTCGGGTCATCTTTTTTTTTTGGGGGGTGGGTTTCCTACGCACCCTGAGTTACATCCCTTGACATTGGCCGAGAGCCAAAAGGCGTGGGCCAAGAAGGGATTCCTCCGAACCCGATATTCCATATGCAGGTTTCACTTTCATCGCAAGCGCGTGAGCCACTTCAATCGACCCAGGATATGCGTGACTACAATATGCACATGCGGTTTCTTCCCTTCACAAAGCTGGAAAAACACAGCTGATGAGTCGTGCCCATGAGTTGCTGCAAGATTTCCGCACGCAGCGCAACCAGACTGCGCCCAGGCTCGGTGCAAATGTGCGCGCGGTCTGTTCACTGCAGGCTGCGATCTTCAAAGAACGGGGCAACCATGCTGCATCGAGCGCCTTTCAACCCTTCTGGCACGCAGTCTTTGGCTGTTGCGATGCGGACAGCCCAACCTCCCGTCCAACATCCGGATGGGCCGGTTGCGACTCTCACTGGCGTGCCGGTTCTTGGTGCGGCGCCAGTCCATGTCCAACTCCATTGGCTACATGCTCAGACCCTCTGTGGTGGCCGCTCATTTTTGGCACTTCATTTTACAGGCAAGCCCCTCCAAAAAGGAAAAAGCGAAAGAACCCACAGGTCCGCGTACTTAGACCAGATCGCTTCCGTTGATTTTTCGCGCCCAGCTCTCCGCCGACGTGGTGGCCTCTGAAGACCAGGCGCAGGAAGCCCCGACCGAAGTGCCGCTGCGCTGCCGACTTGAGCTCCTGGCTGGCTGCAAGCAGCCCGGCTTCGGGGGCCCCAACTAAAACGAAGCAAACGTGCCCCCAAAAAGTGGCCTTGAGGTCGCCAGCCTTCCCGTATGATGCCTTCAGCGGCAAACGGAGAGACCACTTTGCCTCAGATTTTGCACAGAAAGGAAACTATATGAAACTATGTATGCCAAACACCTTGGCCCATTTGTCGCTTGCAGGCGTCCACACATGCTGTAGCCTGCCAACATCAGCCCGCCAACAGGAAGCTCGGGCCGAGCTTTCGGTGGCCTTCCTTTACTTTACGAAAAGGTGATGCTTCATCCGCTCCAAAAAGCAATGAGGACATATCGGGGCCCTGAAGGAGGGGTTCTTCAAAGTTCTTTTCGGCCTTGCCCTTTTCGATGTGCGGCGCACCCACACAACAAAAATACTTAGGTTCTGGCCAAAACTATGCTACCCGGAAAAGCAAAGCAACTACACAACTAACTCCTTGACTTTGAACAACACCCACCTAAGAAGTCTGCTTGGCTGACCTAGACAGCGCGCCCACGCAGGCACCCGACGGTCAATGCGGCTGCGCGCGGGCCCTCAAGCATGCTGCTGGCTGACATGGCAGCGACGACTCTCAGTCCAACCAAAATGGAAGCAAGCGTTGACCCCGAATCAATCGCAGCTGTCCGGGAATCGCGCTTCCTTTTTTGGGCTCCCGTCATCCAGGCCACTCCGATTCCTTGAGCGGCAAGTCAAGCTCGTGCAGGGACGCCTCATTTGTGGTCTACAGCCGCGTCTTTTTCTGCGTGAGTCTGGAAGAGATGCGCCCCTGGCACCCACCTAACCCTACAACGTCTTTGGGCCGCCCACTTCTTCACTCTTCACGCAGCGGGAGCCTCAGGCTTCAGCAACGCCTGTCAGCTTCTTTTTTCACAGCTGTCTGTCATAGGCTCTGTCGCAAGCTGTCTGTCCAAATAGGTCTATCACAGGTGTCCTGTGGCACCCGGCGGGACAGTTGAACGTCACTTAACATCTAACAACCCAAGCCTGTTGCAAAACCATCTAAATTTGGAGGAGACCTCAGAAAAGATGCGGCAAAAGGGCATGTTAGGTCTACTTGGCACCTTTTGCGACCAATCGACTTTAGTAACGGTTCTTTCCCAATCCTCAGAAGGAGTCAAGTTGGACCCCGAGCGTCATTTCGTTCGGCCTGTTCTCTACTTCTGACCCAAATCAAACATGGGGCCGGCCACCCCTGCCTTTCTGATGTTGGGTCCCTTCCAGGCGCATCCGAAAAAAACCAGCATAAGTATCAAACAACCATTGGAGTCCCCCAAGAGGGTCTGGTCTGCTTAACGTTGACTTGGGATTTCATAAGGGGGGGGGGTTGTTCCCCTCCAACCGTGGTCTGAGTTCCCACCCACTAAAACCGGGACAACCTCTCGCGATGTTTTTCCGAAGCTTCGGATGGCTTCTTCGGCCTTTCCCCTTCCGGCGAGTGGGTTTCTAACTTGCCCAAGCACTTGGACATAAAACGAGATCACCTCTATTGGCACCTTTCTTCTGTTTTCTCGACCAACCAACATAGGAAAACCCAAAGTCGTCATTTGAGTCACATTCGAAACCTGGTACAAAAATGGTGAACCCAGAACCATGTAAAGAATTAGAAAGGCGGCCGCAACTATTTCCGGCTGGGACTGCCCCTTACTAACCTTCTACCTGGGTTTTGATTGTGGCTCATTTCGGCTCGATTCGCTTCTTGTTGTCGGTCAACGGCGCTGGTCCTGGACGGTCTGCGTCTCCAAATGGCAGGCCGTCCAACGAGCCCCGCTGGGCAAATGCACGTCCAGGCGCATCGGCGCACGAGCGGATGCGACCAAAACGAAACGGAGCCCGGCGGCTGGCACCGCCCGGAGGGGACGGGTCCCGAAAGAGGGGCACGACTCTGTGGGGTATCAAAGAGAGAGAAAGAGAGAACAATACACAAAACACACACATGTAGCCAGAAATGAGGGATTGGACAACTAAGAAATGGAACAACAAAGAACCATCTCAACTATTTGAGTCATTCCAACAGGACGTTGGTCATTCAAACATTGAGCCTCTTTGGCTGAGCGATGCAAGCTCGACTGAGCAAAACCGTCCCCTTCCGAAGGTGCCAGCGCGCCTTGAGCCAAACGGAGCCGTCGGGAGACATCACGCTGGGGTTGAAACCCACCAAAAACGGTAAACAAATGTATTCCCCCCGTGCTGGCCCGGGAGCAACGCAAAGGCCCTGTCAGGGAAAGCTTCTCAGGCGTTCTGCTCGGGTTCAACTCTGGGTCCGACTTCCGACTTTGTCCCTGAACATGTGTCTCTTTTCAGAATGGCGGACTCTTTGTTGCTTGGTGAAACAAACCTATGCCCATATGTGCGTTGCTAAGTTTGTGCCGTTTTGGCTGCTGTCTGCTAAGCTCTGACAAACAAGTTTCAGTGCCATCTGGTGAACACGACATGCTTTGTGGCGTGGTGCACCGCTTCGTGCCGCCGCTTTGCCCGGCCGACGTCTGAATCACATGTGGGGGTCAGCCATGTAGATTTCCTCATCCCCTTTTACCAGGCTGCGGTATCTTCAGGTCCAAATATGGTTCATTTGGGATTTCGTTCCCTTCCGCTTGCGCCACATAGTTAACTAATGGAGCACATTCAGGCTCGGTCCGATGGTCTCTGCGACAGCTCCAGCCCCAGCAAGTGGATTACAGATTGAACAGGCCGATACCTCTCTGAAGAAACACCGGAATCATCGGACTTGAAGAAGGTTGCCTTTGATTGATTCTACCCTCTTTTGAACATCATTGTTGGAGGGACTTTCCAATTGGCCAGCTGCTTCTCTCCATGAGCTGGGCTGACTGAACAAATCTTTCCTAGGTAAGTGGTTGGCCCTAAGCAAATATCCCCTGGGTGTGTCTTTCCAGGGGCCCTTTCGGTCAAGGGACGCCGACAATCTTGCCCCATTCCCCTGTTTAGAGAGTGACAAACCCATGGGTTATTTCTCAAAATTCACCACTTGCCTTACGGTCCTTACGGTCCTTACGGTCCTTACGGTCGTGCGGGTGCAACTCCATGGCTTAGATCTTCCGAAGTCACGGAGCCCACGGAGCCCACGGAGCCCACGGAGCCTGCCAGGGGCCCAACGGGGCCCAACGGGGCCCAACCTGAGGGGCCCGGCTGAAGGGATCTCTGCAAAGCAGCGCCACCAGCAGCCGCGCCTCGATCCACTTCGTGGCGGGGAACCCCTGAGTTAGAGTTGCTATGGGGAAACCAAGGAAACCGTTGCATTCTGTTCAAACCGCACTATCTGCCCTTCAATCATTGGAAGGAAGAGGTGGACGACCATCTTCAAATGGACAAAGATTGTCCGCTTTTAGAGGCAACATCCCAATCAGCCACCTCCAAAGGAAACTGATTTGATATATTTTGATGTGTTTTCCCATTTGCGAGGTTCATGAAAACCATCCAACCCTTGATAGGTGATAAAAACTGTGTTTGTTGCAGCCCCCTACTAAAACAGGTTCATTAACACCATCCAACCCTTGATAGGTAGCAAAAACTGTGTTTGTTGCAGCCCCCTACTAAAACTGAATAGAACCAAACAAAAGCATCAAAAGCACAAAACATGCCAACAACCGTGAAAAAACACCATCGTTTTGAGGGAACCTCTGAAGGGGGTGTTCAAGCACCCCAACGATGGGGCCGGCTCAGAAGCCCCGTTCTCATGAGATCAGATGCAAAGACACGCCCAACCGTGTCAAATCAGACCATGGCCAAACAAACAGGAGCTCTTTTGCATTTCACACCCAAACCAAACCAAAAGGAACTCTGGATTTCCAATCACCAACCTGGCTTTCACCAACCAACAGATGCCCCTCGCATTTCTCACCTCCCCGTTCCTTGGCACCTCCCGGGAAGAGCACCTCGCATTTCTCACCGTCGCTCGGCGGCCCGGCCAAGTGCAGCGCCTCCGGCTTCGGAAGCCTCAGCCCGGGGGACTTGAAACCGCGATTGAGCCGGACACAGCCGAGGGGACACTCCACAGAAAAGGTTCCACATGTCCTTGTTTCTTTTCTTTTTCCCCAGCACATGTCTGTTCCCCTCAAAAAGCCAACAGAACTATACAAAAACTCAAACAAGCGAGTGGCAGGACACCTTTGGTTTTTTTTGGCCCAACGATCCGTGAGTCCGAAACCTGGGCAGATCCCTGTGTTTGACACCAGGGACACGAAACCTGACTTTGAACGGGATCCAACATGAATGTCCCGCTTTGCACCTGAGGGGTTTACGCCTTGTTCACACCATGTTGACCTGCTTGAAGGAACAGGGCACATAGGTAACGATTCCTGACCATGGTTATGACCCACATCGGACTTACTGTGGCGTTGCCATAATTCCATTTACCATTTGCAGGTACCAAGGCTTGCCGCACCCTCCAGCAACTAGTTACATGCGAAATTTGGAAAGCATAACCTTAAATGGACATCAGTTGTCCTTTTCTTTTTTGGAATCAACCTCAACACCAACCCCACAAAGAATGTTGGGCAAACAAAACAACAAACAAAAAACAAACGCTCTACATGGGTCTGGTTTGGCGGAAGGAATGCCTGCGGATCTACCGAGCGCCTCATTGAAAGCTTTCTGTTGAACCAAGTCGCTGCTCCCAGACCCGGTCGCTCTCTAGGCCTCGGTGACTCGGTGCGGTGCTTTGTATGAGACGCGGGCAGTGAACCAGTGGACCAGTGAACGAACCCCCAGGCAGTCAGGCTCAACTTGTTGAGCCAGACTATTGTACCTCGGCTTTGCCACCCGCAAAACAAAACAGCTTTTAATCGATTGAAAGCTCGCAGGGGAACAAGAACCAAGTAACTATACAAAAGATCAGTGGATCAGTTTCTTAGGCTTTGCTGGTATCTCAACATTGGCTCAAAATGAAATCAATCTTCCTTAGTGGGAGAGAGGGTACATAATATCTTGTCCCAAGCCTAGAGAACAGGATTTCTGCTTGCCGCAAGGGGTAAAGAGCATGGTATGAAGGGCGGGTGGTTGGGGGCGTAGCTTGGGTAAACTGATATATGGGTGTGGCTCAAAATTTTGGATTCCTTAATCCTCACTTCCTGAGTGGATGGAAGAATCCTTACAGCAACGACTTCACTATAGCACTTTGCCGCCCGGGGCAGGAATGGGTGAGGGGGTTGTCAATGTCCCCTTGGACCTCAGGTTCAAAACCTTGCCTGTCAAAACACACTTACGTTGGTGGCAAGTCAACCTATGAGTGGGTCAGAACCTGGGGTGACAAACCATCAGGTATCCGAACTAAACGTCCCTTAGAAGCCAACACCGGAGCTCGGCGACGTCTCCGGGCCGCCGAGCGTTGCAGCACAACCCGCAGAGTCTGCTCGTTACCCAAGCTGAAGATGCATTGCATGGCCAAATCCTCAAGCCGAGCTGGGGTGTCCAAATACATCTAAATGGCAACATTTAAATGGGAATCACCTCCAAAGTGGTTGGAAGAGGTACATCCCCAAATGATGTCCAGCCGAAAATCCGTAATTATTTAACATTCATGCCCAAATACAAGGGCCTAAACAATCAGAATATGATTCTTGGGTACTTAAAGCCACACTTAGGATCATGTACAGACAAAAAACCCGAGTTGGTGTCCGGCGGTTTCCCGCGCAGATGGAAGAGAGCCATCTGTGGCTTCCAAAGGCTTGGAAACACTTGTCTTGCTTGCTGGGTGCTCATCCGGGTGCTGGGAATAACCGTTTTGGGGTTTCCTTAAGGGAAACCATAGGGCATGGTTTATCTCGGGGTCATTCCATTTCTCATGCCCTGCCGAGAAGCAGCAAGTTACTGCCACTTCGCGAGAAAAAGTTTAGATCCCCACTCGTTGTCTTGCTCCAGCCAAATAATTTCTTGCTCCAGCCAGATAATTTCTTGCTCCAGCCAGATAATTTTCAGAGGGTAGCTGCCCGCACGCAAGCGACTATCAGTTGCATGAACAAACTTCGAACCTGCCGCTGCCAAGGCCAGCATGTTCATGCATAACCAAAGGTCGTCTTTCGACTTTCAGCGCTCGGAGAGCTAAGATCCAAATACTGATCTCACTACAACTGCTGAAGCTCGGAAGTTGAACCAACCCTTTTTGGAGGCTCCCTGCAAGAAACGGCGAGCTCATTTGTGCATCAGGCAGACAACTCGAAGGCATTTCTGTGATTCAGCCACGAATGCATTCAGCCACGAATGCAGAAGCCTGAGCGCGCACTGGGCAACATACATTACATTGGTCGAACTTGCAAGAGCTCACCAACTCGCAATAAGGAACAAACAAGAGAGGAACCATGGGGCCCGGGGTTGCAAAGCCCTGGTCGCGATCCTTGCCCAGATGGCTTGCAGAGTTGACTGCAAGCTGCCAGTCTGGATCGCAATCGATAGTCCGAATCCAGACAGAGTCGTTCTACGTTCGCAGGAATTCGCGTTTCTTAAATCCAAAAGACTTTGTCAAATAGGTACCACGAACCCCTCCCCACAGCGATGCCAAAGATCCCAAGGCCTTTGACCTTAAAGCATTGAAAGCTTTGGCCCCAATTCAAACGGTTGATCAATCATGCAACAGCCAGAGGAGCCAACCTGCAACTTCGCAACAGGCTTTGGTGGCTCCATGGTGATGTCTTCCGAAATTTATCAACACCAACAAGCAACCGAATTGCTAGCAGCGCTGAGACCATGTCAAGTCGAGCAATTCGGTACTCGGAGAAGTGCAATGCAATGTGAGGACAGCGCAAAAAGTTGGAAGTGAATCAACTTGCACAAGTCTTCAAGACCAACCAACAAAAGCAACCTGCCAACTAACCAAGAAACAACACCTCCCAATCAAAACATGTTTCGTCAGGCAACTACCCCGCAACCAAAAAACACAACAACGTGGATGCAGAAAACCCATGCTGCCGAAACTGAATTCGGAAATCGACCGCCCAAAACTTGAGAACGTGAGATCCACTCCCCCGAAAGCCAGAGCAAGGCAACCCCAACAAGAGCTCGTCACCGCGCGCATCCGGTTTCGGGTAGAATAAATGCCATTCCCAGCACTAGTCGCAACTAAATGACTAAGTGGCTTGTCTGGACCTACTGTGGAAGGACGAAATCCTGCAGCACTTTGAAACGATGGGGAACCATTGTTTGTTGGTATTTGCTGGGGAATCATTGTTCCGGGGTCTCTTCGGTGGTGCAGGACTTCGTCCATTCACAGTATTGCTAGTGTCTACCCCAAAGCATACCACCCTTGACTTGAACTACCCCCCCCCCGCCCAAGGACTTGGGCAAAGCGGCTACTCGTCCAGCTGCCAAGTAGTCCAGGATACCCGACAGCAGCGGGCAATCCTGACACAGGTTGGAGGTCCTCGAACTGTAGGCTGGTTGTTTGTTGGCCCTAAGGGAGTTCACCCCGAATTTTGAAGGCAATGACCCCCCTTAAGGCTATTTTGAGGGTGAATCAATCGATCCCACAGAGTCCGACTCAACTTTCCTCGGATCCCGATTGGGCCCAGGGGTCCACATGTGTCAGTTGGGAAGCCAGCAGCGTCCATGGATCATGGTCCAAAACGACCGTATGTGAGTCTGCCGCCAAGATCCTCCAACAACCCATGCAATCTTGCGTCCGTTTCCGCCCACCATGCAGTCTCACATGACTCCTGGAGCTTTGAAGATCCTGCATCCGTCAAATGAAGGTTTCTGGTTGGTAGGGAACGCCCCAAGAAAACCAATCATTTAGAGCCACAACCAGGTCTTACCTGTACTGATGTGCGCTCCACATCCACGCTGTTTCTAGTGTGAACACTGACGCAAACTGTAGCTTGGGCACACCAATCGCAGCTGCTTCTTTGGCTGATCAGTGTTTGATCTGCTTAGTAGGCTGTTGCAGAACACTGAATGCAAGTCCCTTGACAAGGGGAACTTGTTGGGTCTTTACTTGTCTTAAAAACAAGAACAACAAAACGATTCTTTGAAGCAGCACCTCTTCAAGACAACAAGGATATGGCATAAGCGACTCGTGGCTTGGTTGCTGCTTGGAACCTTGGTTGGTTGCTTGGCTTGTTGGCTGGCTGCCAGGTTTTGCTTCGGTTCGGGACACCCGTTCAACTTCACAGGAAGCGGTCTCCGCTCGGCGATCCGACGACACATCGGTCGGCGACCGAACCCGCCTCAGAGTTCAAGGCGCGGCTCGGGATCACCTAGCGGACCCCAGGAGTGGTTCTAATAAAGGAGCCGACTTTTTGGCCAAAAGAAACACGTCCCCCTTAAACAGATATGTTCCCTGAGAAGATGTGCTCCTCCCAGATCACCTTGAAATGCACCAGGGAGTTTCCCAGATCACCCTTGGAGAAACATCATCCTAGGGACCTAGCATTTGTCAGGTAAGCGGGCTACCATGGCTTTGGTGGCAAAACCACAGGAGTCGGCCCACTAGTGGCGGCGGCAGCAGTGCGAAATCAGCTTCTTAAAAGGGTTCAACCCCTGCTAAGAAGCATTCTGGTTCCGAGATGTATTTGCTCCCCAGGGTCCCTTTGTTTTGTGGACATCTACGCCGATTGCACTGATTGTAGGTGATTTCTCAAATACAAATTCATCCATCTCAAGTACCAATCGGCATACATTTCACAACCACCCTACAGGGGTTCGGGTTTGAAAGCAGGCGTATGGCTACCGCTTACAACTCACCCCCCATGATTCAAACTGAATGGATGTCACTTAACTAAACGGGTGTGCTTGAGGTTACCCCTTGGGGCTGTTTTACCTAATTACCAGCCAAAGGGAAGCCGGCCTCATTCTGTGGGTTCCATATCCCAAACATAAACAAATCCATATGCTCCCTGTCTGCAGGGCTGAGGGCCCAAATTCCTTCCCTTCATCCATGCTTCTTCAGAAACCACCCATCCCTAGGTGTTGGTCTTGGTGGGGCTTCCGGAGGCTTCTATCTTCAACCCTGTCAGCCAACCCATGTAGGCTGCCCAAAGGTTCACGAGAAGGGCCAGGTGTTTCTTTCAAAATAGGGGAATTCCAAGCTGTGGCTTCAAGTTTCCCGCTGGTGTCCCTTTTGTCACTCCCAAAGGGGCTGTCCCTAAAATGCGGAACCCCCTCCTTTTGTGGATCGGAAAGCACCTACCTGGATCGGAAAGCACCAATAAATTGCCCGATTGTAGAATCTTCTGAAGGGGAGTGCCTCAAATTCGGAAACCCCGAAAGTTCCGAGCCACTCTCACAGCCCCGACCTCTGCAAGAAAGCCGGGCCTGGCCGACTCCAAATCTATTGGCTCAAGGCACCCCAAATGCTAACCCCGGAAAAACCCTGGTCAATTGAGGTGCCCCCTTTTAGTGTAAAGCACAACACCTGGTTGGTGTGGTGAGGCATCAACAAAAACCTGTTTAAGCATCAACACAAGGCTTATTTGGCACCATTTTGCTGCCAACACACAGCAAACAGACAGGAAATTGTGGCATCAAACAAAAACTTGTTACGCTTCAAAACAAACGTGTCGGGTATGGCTTGGGCTGCCATTGCGGGTTGCATTACGGCTGTTTGGGTTAGGCTGGGTTTAGGGTGGGTTTGAGGTGGGTTTACGAGGGGTTTGGCGTGGGTTTAGGGTGGATGTAAGGTGGGTTTGGGGCGGGACCCACCCCAAACCCATCCTAAACCCGCCCTGAACCCACCGTGAACCCAGTCTAAACAAGCAGCCCAAGCCAGGCCTGACAAGTTTGTGTTTGAAGCTTAACAATTCTCTGATTGATCGGTCATGTTACATTGCTTTTGCGTTTGTATTCTAGCGCAGCCCGCACCCCCCCCCCCCCTCCGGCAAATGAAGCAAGCACAAGCAACCGCATCAGCCAGGTTTGAACACTATAGTGCCAGGTTCAAGAACGATGGCCTGGGGGTTGAGGGATGCGCAGCCCCACCCCCATTGCAGGAGCACAAACAAATGCATCAGGCAGTCCTTCCTGCCTTTCTTCCTCACTTCCTCCCTCCCTCCCTCCCTCCCTCCCTCCCCTCCCCTCCCCTCCCCTCCCTCCCCCCCTCCCTCCTCCCCCCCTCCTTCCCTCCTTCCCTCCTTCCCTCCTCCCCTTCCCTCCCTCCTTCCTTCCTTCCTTCCTTCCTTCCTTCCTTCCTTCCTTCCTTCCTTCCTTCCTTCCTTCCTTCCTTCCTTCTTCGCAGTTGCCCTGGGAAAGGCAATAAGTTGTTTCTTGACGCCCGAGAGGTTGGTATTGATGCTTAATGAGTTTCTTTTGATGCTTATCCCCTCCTTTTTAGGGAGGATCAGATCACTTTTGTGAAGTAGGAATCCTTCCCTGTGGGCGACTCCCCCTACTAATCCCATTACCCCATTAGAATGGTTCGCAGAACCTTTGCAAGAACCTTCTACGCACCCTTCCTGGTTCGCTGGCGGGGCTTTGGTTGCTACACAGAAGCAGGATGCCGAGAAAGCAGGGGTGAGGGACCTTCTTCATGAGTTGTTGGCATGTCCCTTCCCATCCTAACCGGTGTGACAGCAACCGCTTTTGCTCGGCCAAGTGAACCGCACTCAGTTTGCCCGTCTTTGGCGCTATTGGACAAGCTTGCTGATTGCTGCAAAGCTGGATTGTTGCACTAGCAACATGAAACAGAACCAAACAGAGAACCAAGACAGGATCAACAAAGAGGCAGAGACAAAGAGACAGAGAGTGAGCGAGAGAGAGAGAGAGAGGGAGACAGAGAGAGAAAGCAAGAATCAATCATCAAACAACAATCACCTACAGGACTCAACTCAACGGGCCAACATGCAACGTGCGATGGATGCTGGCAAAACATTCGGACATCCTGGCCATTCAAAGTGGGTTTTAGGTACCGAGGCCGGCTATGGCTAGCCCTTGTTCTTTTTTACCAGTCCACCACCCCTTCGGCTCAGGGCAAGAGCTCCTTCACTTCTCTGGGAACCATCAGACCTACAAGCCAAAAGAGATCCTTGTACGCGACCAGTGTGTGTTGTTTGTTCAAGGGAAACCGACAGGAAAACTGGTGCCCATTCTGACACATAATGGGAACCCTGGATGAATAAAGCCGGTTGATAGCTATAGTTGGGGGGTGCCCCCTTGTGGGGGTTCACCACAATTGGAGGGGAACACTCCCTATACATGTCCCTTTGAAGCTTGCCCGAAGGACCTGGAATTTAACGGATAACCCTTTGGAATCTTTGCTAAATATGGACCACATCCGGGAAACCAAGAGGTTCAAAGGTCGGTTTGCCTTGGGCAAGTGGGAGCCTGGACCCTCAAACCACCCTGAACAAGATGTCTTTAAGTGTACTATTCCGGGGTTGACATTGCCCATTCGCTCTCCGCGCCTCTCCATGGCTTCGCAACGGTGCGCTTGCCGCGCTTGCCGCGCTTGCCGCGCTGCCGGTGCCCCTTCGGCCACCGCGACGGCGGGTGTCCTGGTCCGCAAAAACCTGCAGCCTAAGTCGGTCCTCCGCAGAAAGAAAAAAAAGTAGATGTCCAGCTAGCCACAAAATTACTCACCAAAACAAGGAGATTGGGCGAAGTTCTCATAGGACGTCCTGGACCTGGCTTCTCAGAGGCTTTGTAATCCGGCTTGAGCTTGTGTTATTGTTCGTTTGTTTGTGTCTCCTATATTCTTCACGCATCGTCCCAGAAACTCGAACCCTGGTATGGCGGGTTCTCAAACCCTCCATGTATCATGTATGGAATGATTACTCAAGTGTTCCCTCCCTGGATTGGGTCAAAAGTTGGTATGTATTGCCTGCGTGGATTGTGTGGAATTAGGCACCCACGACACACCTGCGGCAAAGCTTTTCTGACTCTTGGAAGGCCTTCTTCGGATCCAACCTTTCTGGGCAATACCCAGCGCATTCTCCACAGGGCAGTCAATGGGTAGTGTCCTTTCGGATACCCTTTAAAACAAAAACCTCAAAGAGGGTCTCAACAAAACCGACTTGCTGAGGTGACTTTGGAAGAGCATCTTGAAAACGACTTTCTGATACATTCCATTCGTGAATGGATGCCTAAATTTTCCACGTGTGCACTGCATCAAAAGGAAACTCACAAATGATGTCAGCAAACAGCAACAGGTGAGCATGGTAAAAACACATTCCAACAATGAAGAATTACAATGTAATATGGAACCGCTAAAAGCTGCTTTGCTTTGTTTGCCTTTCTGTGTGTTTATTTTGTCGGGGGGGGGGGCAGTAAGGCTGAAGAGTTGTTTGGTCAATCAAGAGAGCAGAACAAAGAGACTCACACATGGGATCGGTTTGTTATTTTTCACACGAGTAAATATGTAGGGCAACACAATTTGAGAAGGAAAGGACAAACCAGGCGTCCAAACCGGCTTTCGCAGATCCTGGGTCGGCAGAAAGAATGGTCTTACAGCGCGCCATTGCTGAACATCCTGAACCATCCAAGCTCCCCAATCGAAAACGGAAAGCGTATAAGCATTGGGCACAACTTGCTGGCCCGAACCCCGCATTGCCAGTTGGTTTTGATTGTGCATATAATTGCTGCAAAGGGAACGGACAACTCTGTGCGCAAGTCCCCTGCTTTGCGGGACATACTTGTGAACCCCCAATGTCCCCAAATCAAGCTATACATCTAGCAACGAGGGTTGGGATTGCCATGCTGACCCACGGCGGGGTACTGGACATTTTGTCTGTGCAAAACACTGCTCGCACCTCCAAGACCCCGCCGTGCCTCTCAGATCCTCCCGCGTCCCTGGGCAATGTCACAGCCCCAATGCCATCCATTTGAATCCTTCCGCCAAAGGCGCCCCAATAGAAGTGACGGACCTAGTACGGGCCAAACCCAGCGTTCTTGAAACAACCTTCCCTTGGTCTTCATTGAAATGGCTTCAATGCATGGGCGTGTCTTCGTTGATCACAGAAAGCCTTTCCAAAGGCACCCATTGCCAACTGTCATACAACAAGGCTCCCTATGCTTCCCCTACAAGGGAATTGTACACATCATCTATTGGGCCAACTCAAGATGAGGCTCCTTCTGTGGCAGGATTGACCACAAATACAGAGAGGCTATGGTAAATGAAGACCACGAAGGAGAAGAGCGACGTAGGCCCCAATCGCTACCCTCAGCAAAATGGCTGGCATGGTATCCCATGATGTCATTAACACAACCCGACGGGGTACCCGAAACCGATACCTCTCTATGATACCTCGATATACAGTAGCAAGTCCGATACACATGGCAATACATCCACTTTTGATACTGGGTATGGGGGTGCAAACCCTCATCTCTTGACAGGGCTGTGTAAATTACTTGCGACCTAGGGAAACTGTTCAAGGTCAACTTGAAAAGCAACCAAGCTGCGAGAGAGCTCCCAAGATTAAGGCCAAGTGTTGATTTTGGCAACTCAAATCCACTCATATGTACCTATATATATATATATTATTATATATACACCAACATTTGACCTACTTATTTGGAGGGTAAATGTGGGTACATATTCCAAACCACATTGTGGAGTCTTTGGGGAATAACCTATCTTTTTCGGTCCGTGCAACCCACGCGCGAATCCGACCAACGCCTCGAGGCTATGAGCTTCTCCTCCCGAGGTGTGATCTGCGCGGCGAGCGCGGCTAGCGCCGCGCGCGTTTGTCTGTTTTGAGGGGGGTACCCTCTTTTTAGTGGTTCCAGGGACACCGAAAGGACAACCACCATATTGAAAATCCAAGGTGCTGTCCAAACGTCTGCCGTTGACCTGGGGTTTGGATGTCTTTCAGGCCAACACGTGTCAAAGAAACTGGGGTCGGGGGCATATTTCAGGTGTTCAGTTTCATTGTAGACTCCCAGAGTTGCGGATCACAACCATCCAATCAAAGGAAGGATGGTAAATACCTTCGATCCACCGGGTATAACCTGGTTCAATTGCAGGGGTTGACAGGAGATGAACCCTGGCTCTTGCTCTTGTGCTTTCGTCACCAGCAGTTGCATGATCACATTCAGGCTCTCTGGCTCAAAATGTTCAAGGAACAACTATTGTCTGCAGGGATTCAATCCATTGACGAGGCTCTCATTTGCGATGAAATAATTGGTGAACAGGGCGCTTACTGGGAGCCACAAACTCGACGTGTGCCCGACCACGTGCCTATGTGTCCAGGTGTAGTTGTGGAGGTTTAACAAGGGATTCAAAGTGCTTCCTTACAGTTAATTCAGCCCTTAGGACATGCAAGCGCACAATATCAATCATGGCATGATAATGAATCAATGCATGTTTTGCCTCTCTGCACAAACAACAAACGTGTCTGATTGCACGTGGTATATTGCAAGCATCCGCTTGAACCATACATACAACATTCACTGTCACAGCATGTAGCTGTTGTTGACAGCACAGCCCTTGTGTTGGGCCTCTATGCATCACCCCACCAAATGCTCGTTTGCAAGCGGACGGTCCAACAGGTGATATTTAACTTGCGCCCAGTAGAAGGACGCCTGCCAATTCATTCGCAATTGCTTCGCCCGTGACATCTGCTTGCCCTATAGAGTTTCCTTTTGGTGTCCCTTTAGCACCACTCCAAAAGGGTAACCTCAGAAAACAGAACCACTCACATATCATCTTGCATTGGTTCTTTCTGTCTTCCTCATTCGAGACGGTGTCCTCCTCGGCTCCCTACCAGGCTTCCCATCATTACGAGTCGCCCCGAACGGCAACTCGGCCAACTGACGAGACATGTTTCAACAACCATCACTTCCACCCCCACCCGATCAGGTCAACAAACCCTGTCGGTTAGCCTTCACCAAAACACAGCCGAACTGAAGGACCTGAAGGGCTTCCCATCTCAAGGAGTACCTGCCTCTTTGGTAGAACGCGGCGTAGCATCCACTTGCTTCCGGCGTCATTTGCATGTCAATGTTAACAAGTCCCAGACCCTTTGGCGGACATCATTTACGTGAGTTCCCTTTTGAACGTCTTAGCCATTTTGGATCTATTTAGTTGGTTCTAACGGGGAACCAACAAAAAACTAACCATTTTTGGGTGCTAAGACAAGCCCACTAGGCACCTTGTCTCGTTCCCTGCCTCCGTCGCCACGTCTGCCGTCCTCTGCTCGAGCCCCGCCTGCAAGCTCCGCATTTGGCGGATGTGCCTTGGGAGTATTAGCCGCGGGCTTCGCGCGTTGTGACATGTCTGACTTGAGGCACGGAAGTGCATCTTGACAGTGAACTTTCAAAGTGAACTTTCGAGAGTAATCCTGCGCCTTACACCTTCCTGCGTCTTGAACCTCATTGGAAGCTGCATTCAGAATGGGCATCTTCATGGATGTTCGACCTAGGTGTACTCAGTTTCCAAACCGCTGGGAGCTTTTGTTGTTCACACAGAAACCTCGCTTTCGCAAGGGCCTCGCAAGCGAGGCCCTTGCGCTTCTCCCTGGTGTCTCCCCGGAGGCACTGCTTTTCTCGCATTCCTCAGTTCACGAGGATCATGTCGCAACAAAAGCGCAGAAGCAATCGCACGCCCACAGCGTGGAGGGTGCTCTTAAGCGAGTGTGCTTAGTGCTTTTCATAAGCTTGATGCGCCTCGCCAACAAGTGGGGTCGACCAAGGAGGCACGAGTCAAAGGAAGCAAGTATCTTCCGGGGTATGCAAATGCTCTTCAAGGTATACGTGATCACGTTATTTGCGACAAGAGAAGTTCCCCCTAGAAGTGTTTTCACGCGGTGTCCACTTCTCTGAGTGGGTCTTCCCAGTGCGAATGCGAATTCACAACACATAATTTCAAAAATAACCTTCCGTCAACCCCCAAAAAAAAACGTTTTCAACCAGAAGAGCGATCCAGTTCTACAAGGATCAACGCCTCGACATACCACAAGTCATTCTGGGAAACGACGTGTGATACCAAAGTGGTGCGTTAGAAGGGATGCTCTTGATCATCCCCGGTGGCCAGCCCTATCCACTACGAACAACTTCCCAATGGTCCAGCCATGATGTGTCCAAAACCATGTGCCAGGAAGCAGGAAAACCAATTTATTTCCCACAAACATTATTTTAACACATCCCTAGTTCCCCATCCACATGGGCACATCTCCCCGCCTCTGTGGCAGCATCTGCTGTCCGCGCCGCATCTGCCCAATGGCCCGTGAGGGGCATGCGCCCGGCCTGGCCCGTGTCGTGGCAGGTTCTCAGCCAGGTCACTGCTGAACTCGAACCCAAACCCCCAAAATCAAAAGGATGTAAAACCATGCGCAACCCAAAGCAAACCCGAGGGCCAAGCCTATGCCGCACGATCGCAAGCGTCGCCAGCCAGCAAATCAACATGCACGCGCTGAGTCTGCACTCTGCGGGTGACACACGTAGGACCAATACAAACGTGGGATGGGGCACGCGAGCAAGCAGGATTCGGAGACGTCAATGGGTGCAGTCCGTCCAACTTGCCAAACAGACCCCCCTTTTTGCGAATGTTTTGACAGGGGGGATTGGTTCTCTTGCCTTCCGCCTTGCTGGCTTCATTTCTCACAGGAAATGCGCAAATTGAGAAATCCCATCTTGCATGGCGCTGACAGGCAAAAAGAAAACAACCACACGAGGAACAATTTCTGGGGACGGGCACCCATTCCTGCTTGTGTCGAAACGCTTTGCGCCCCAATCTTCCGAGCGAGTGTCCGCCCCACAAAGCCAACGCTCTTACCCATTTGCAGATTCCGTGGAAAAGCAAACGGAAGAATTAATCACTTTTTCAAAAGGCCCTTCGGCTCTACCAAGGACCAGTCTGGATGATATTTCTTGCGACACAAATTTGGCGGCAAGGAAACCAAGACTTCCCTATCGCAGGCCCTAGCCCCATTTTCTTCATGCTTTCATGGGGGCTGGGGAGGAGGGGAGGGGGAGGGAGCCCCTTTAAGCCCATATTAAGCCCCTAATAAGGCCTTATTTGGGGCTTATTTGGGCGCCCTCCCCCTCCCCTTCCTCCCCCCCAAGCCCCATGATGCTTGTGACTTGCATCTCCATGGCACGGTACACATAGGCAGTTCCCATCTACCTCATTGCCCCGCCTCTGTGGCTGCGTCCGCCGTCCTCCGCACCGCATCTGCCGGATGGCCCGCGAGGGGCATGCGCCCGGCCTGTGGTGCATTGCCCAGCATTTGTTTCAAGTAGTTTGGGTTCATTTTGTTTTGCCATGGGCGTTTGAGGTTTCAAGTCTTTACTCTGCACCTTCACATTCTTGCACCTCAAGCATCACCCAGTGGATTCTAAATGGCCATTGTCAGCAAGGAACCTCGGGTAGAACTTTGACATGGGGCACGCGAGCAAGTAGATTTCGGGGACGCGAATGGGTATCGTCCAACTTGCCAACAAACGCCCCGGCCCCTGTATGCGAATGTTTTGACAGTGGGGGTTTGGTCTCTTGCCTTTTGGCTTTAGGATTTCATTTTCATAGAAAATCCAAAATTGGAATTCCCCTCTTGCATGGCGATGAAAACAAGGAGAAGCAACCACGCGAGGAACAATTTCTGGGGACGGGCACCCTATCCTATCAAACATCAAATGCTTGACTATGTCAAAACAAGGGGCTCCCCATAGTGTTGCTTCCCAATCTTCTGAGCGAGTTTCCGCCGCCCCGAGACAATAAGACTTTGCGGGTTTGATGGATAAGTTAACGCTTTTTCAAAAGACCTGAGGAGCGATTCGGCTCTACCAAGGACCAGCCATGCCTTGACATGTCACCACATGGTTCTGGATTAGTTCTTTGGCAGCTCCCATCTGCCTCATTGCCCCGCCTCTGTGGCTGCGTCCGCCGTCCTCCGCACCGCATCTGCCGGATGGCCCGCGAGGGGCATGCGCCCGGCCTGTGGTGCATGGCCCGGCATTTGTCGGGCTCGTTTGGGCTCGTTTGGGCTCAAGTAGTTTGGGTTCATTTTGTATTGACATGACTTTGGGCGTTTGAGCTTTCAAGTCTTTACTCTGCACCTTCACATTCTTGCACCACAAGCATCACCCGGTGGATTCTAAATGGCCATTGTCAGCAAGGAACCTCGGGTAGGACTAGTATGGACAAGTACAAACGTGGGATGGGGCACGCGAGCAAGTAGATTTCGGGGACGTGAATGGGTGTCGTCCAACTTGCCAATAGACGCCCCCCCCCTTTATGCAAATGTGTTGACAGTGGGGGTTTGGTGGCTTGCCCTCTGGCTTTCTCATTTCATGTTTGATAGGAAATCCCAAATTGGGAATCCGTGTGGCGCTGACTGGCAAGGAGAAACAACCACACGAGGAACAATTTCTGAAGACAGGCACACTATGGAGATAAGCCTGTCACGAAAATCACGTACGCAGATCAGCTTTTGAGGCCCCGACTCCGCAGGGCGGTTCCCACCTGTCAAACGTGGGAGAGACATGGTCACGGAAGATGTCCCGATGCCTCTGCATTTACTCCTTTGTGGCGCCATGCGACACTGCCTGTCTGGCGAAGCGCAAGAAAACGCACGCACGCGTCAAAAGGACAAGGACGGCAACGAGACACCAAAGCAGCCCGCAGCAAAGCTATCAAGCGCAGTGACAGACACGCGGATCGGCTCGGTGCAAATTCGCGCGCGCGCGCTGTCCACGCAGACGGAAGTCACGAGCTACAGACCGGCCGACGCTCAGAGAGACAACATGTTTACGTATGGCTTTAGAGTGCTTTGCTCTTGGCTTCCCATGGCGCACGCACACGCTTCAAGAGGACAGCGCCAGGACACCTAAGCCGCTCGCAGCAGAAGCTATCAAATGCAGTGACTGGAGACAGGCGACCAGAAAAGGTTACCCATCGGACCTGCTCAAAAATGGATAGCTCGAAAAGAACAAAGAAAAAACTTCGTATAAACCTCAACAGCAGGAAGCTCACGGCCAAAGGGTCCGAGACTTGGGTGCCCTTCGAAATCGCTTTTCAGCCCCCCAAAATCATGTTTCCGGGTGCGTTGGAGCGTGCTCCAAGGAGCAGAACGGCTTACCCTGCGGTGACTGTAGGTAAGTTTCCTGAAAACCACTCACAGCTATGACAACTTCGAGGATGGGATTCTGAAGCATTGTTGTGTTCATAACGTTTAAGCTAAACACAAGGGAATGAAGAATCACTCAAAAGAAGCATTCTTCCCTCCCTTCTCTTTCCCCCCAAGACACTGGCGGGAAATGGAGTCTCATGGATCCCTTCACTCAGGTTGGCGCACTCTTTCCTGACTGAACATCCGGAATGGGCCCGGGCAAACCCCAATGGTTTGCGCTTGAATATGGGTTACCGAGCCTCCACCAAATACGTTCCAACAAGGGAAGTCCAAAGAAAAAACTGGCTTTTCTTGGGGTAGCCTATTGTGACAAACATTGAAATGGGTGATTTGCTGCTGGCTCAATCTCAAAAGGGGCGGCGAGTCTCAAAAAGAGACACGTCATGGGCAAATCCCCGAGGCCCATAACCCTCAAAGAAAGAGAAAGGAATCGACAAATCTCCCGTGCAAGCCTGGGTACAGGCCCTGCCGAAGTCATCAGCTCGTTTTCCAGGCGGATGACCTCAAGATTCGAGATCAGTTCGGTCGGAAAAGGATTGGAGTTGGCTGGGGTCTCCACGAGCCTTAAATGGGGGTTACTTAAAAGAATTGGGGTGGCACCAGTTGCGAAGGGTCGGAAGGAGATTCCAGGCAGTTTTTGTTCTTTTTCTTCCGGGTAGTTTTTCCATGACGATGGAGTTTGCTCAGTGAACTTACGAAACAAACATGGAATCTATTGCCAATGCACAACAGGGACATTGGATTTCTGGATGCAAACCATGCTGGTTTTCTTTTGGGGGAAATAACTACACATGTTGCGACCAGGCATGATTCTTGCGAAATTGGGAGGCTTTCTCACCCATCGACCGGTGCCTGGATGCGCCTTAGCAGGCGAGGTGACGAATTGAAGTAGGCAACCAAAGGCACCACCCATTAAAACCAAAAAGGCTGATTTGCTGTGAACCGGAGGAATACACAATGTGACCTGTGCTCAGACTTGCAACCACTTCCGGAGAATTACCTCTGACGGCTCGACTTAGGCGTTCAAAACGCGTTGACCAATCCTACTGCATACTCCCTGAATCAAATCCTCGCGCCCCTTGAGCGATTATAGAAATGAACTGAAGTGCCCCTTTGAAACCCCCGAAAGGGCCAGCCCCTCCAATCTCCATTCAACCCGCCTCCTTCTGCGGCTCTGGCCTGTCCTGGCACTGGACCAGTTCAGCTTAGGGCGTGTCTCCTTTCAAGGGAAGCCCGTTTTGGAGTATTGAAGAAAAAACATCAACCATTGGATGAGTTTTTCCAGGCTGAGAACTCTGCTGCTAGATCATTGAAGATGGCAGGCAACCCAATCATATTCTGAATCCACTTGCTCGGTGCATAGGACATAACCCCTACTGAAGGAAACCTCATGACCTTTTGACTTGAGGTCCAAAAACCGGACTATATGGCAAATTTCTAACCGACACAACGGATGTTTGGCTCGAGATTCTTATGTGTCCTCAACACACGAACCCACTGCTCGCCGTCCTGGAGGTACCAGGACGTGGATCGCCGCGAGCCGGGCGCATTTGCCAGCCTTGAGGCGTGGAATGGCAGCAATGTAGACACGATGCCTTCCATTCTGCAAGTAGCATCTTGGGAATTTGATTCGAAACAACTGTACCCCAAAAAATATGATATATAATATATGGGCATAGTGTTGTGCTTGGGTGCGAACTCATGTTAACATAGCACTCACTACCGTGTCTACTTCAGAATCAAGTGGAAAAACCACAACACAACCAACACACCTTCAATACATCTATGAGTTGGAATGGGTCCCGGACCTGTGGACATCATTCAGGCGATATATGTCCCGCAATGACTTTTGAGGACGCTCCCAATTCAAATTCACAGTCAACATGGCCCATAAGATCCAACACCTTCCAAACGCTTTTTTGAACAACCCCCTTCCACTGCATGTTTTTGTTTTTTGTGCGGGGCCCTTCTTAGGAACCAAAGAGAAAACCATTTTGGGATGTCCACATGCCTATTTTGACAAGCCATGCTACGGCCCGTCCTTTTCGATTTTCGTTTCTTCACCGAGCGCTTGGCTCCATCTCGGCATCCAGCTCCGTGGGGTGCATGGTGGGCCTCAGCGAGTCGGAGCATGGGAGTCTCGATCAAAACGGATCGGTCTGCAAATGGCCATGGGTCAAAATCCAAATCATACCCCCAGTGACCATCCGATTCAATCCCCACTATAGACTAAAATAGGTGGTGCACCCCAAAATGGTACCATTTGGTTTCGACCCACAGCCATTTACCCAAATCCTAAGGAAATGAAAAGGTGGCCGCGCCTACTTCTGGCCGGGCCGCTTGCTAACCTTCATGTCTACCCGGATTTTGGCTGCGGCTCATGGGAAAATCAAAGGCGTCCCGGGTCCCAGATCAACCCAATAGATATGACAGTTAGGCCACATTTAACCCCTAAGTCACGCTTCATTTGTGGCTTCTCCTTAAGGGGTATGTTCCAGGGGACTGGTGGTACGTCCTTTGCGCAAAACAGCCTATCTGGGGTGTTGAGCACGCATGAGACAACATGTAGGCAAAAAACAACATGTCGATACAGGAATGTAGTAAATGGGTTTCTGTGTGCGTGTGTGTGTGTGTTGTGTGTGTGTGTTGTGTGTGTGTGTGTGAGGTGGGTGTGTTGTGTGTGTGTGTGGTGTGTTTTGGGGGTTGTGTGTGTGGGATGTGTGTGTGTGTGCTGTGTGTGCTGTGTGTGGTGTGTGTGTTGTGTGTGCTGTGTATGTGTGTGTGCGAAACCGCCTTTTGGGTGGTTACAGAAGAAAACCGCAAGAAAACAACCCGTTCTTAGGGTCCCCTATTTCAAGACCCACCCGAATATCAGCTTATCCGCACATGGTGTCAGGACCCAAGCATATAATTCAAATCGAATCAAATGGTGCTCTTGCATACCACCGGACCACACGGGTATGTCTACATTAAAACAAGAAATGAAGCCTGACTCCGGGAGTACACTTGCCAAATCAAGGTGTCCGCTCATTTCATGCCTTTCCCGCTCAAAATCTGAAACGAGCAAAAATAGTGCCAGAGCCCCCAAAAGTGACCGAATGGAAGACCTACAGTAGATGGACAAATTAATCAAACCGCCAACAGTTGCGGCGCACCCCCCCCCCGTACCCCCCAATGTCAATGTTACACTAAACACAAGCGCTTTTCATGTCATCGGGGTTTGATTTAATTCGTCCACCCAGCCCGACCCTCAAAACGACCAATCACATTGAAATTGGGGTTCAAGGGGGGGCGTTACAGTTGTAAGGGTTTGATTAAATCGTCCACCTACGGTACGGCTAGCGCTTCGGTTCCAGAATTGGTGGCTACGCACATGCTAGTTGACCCTGCGCACGTTCATTTTGAAAGAGGCGTCTGTTGAAATCTGCGCGGCTTTCCTCGAGCTTTTGCACTTCCTAATCCGCAGGTGCTTGAGTTTTCCAGTTCCAAACCTGCGGGTGGTCAAATTCCGAGTTTTTCCAGTTCCTAATCCCCGGGTGTTCGAATTCCTCGAGTTTTTCCAGTTCCTAATCGCTGTCCCAGTTCCTTTCCAGTTCCTTTCCAGTTCCTTTCCAGTTCCTTTTCCAGTTCCTTTTCCAGTTCCTAATTAGGATTTGTTGTGTTTTCTCAGCAATTGCTGCTTGATCATGATTTCATTTAAAGAAAAAGAAAAGAGTATTTGTTTCTTTTTTATTTTAAGCAACTTGGGATGACTGAGAAAACACAGCAAATCCCAATTAGGAACTGGAAAAGGAACTGGAAAAGGAACTGGAAAGGAACTGGAAAGGAACTGGGACAGCAATTAGGAACTGGAAAAACTCGAGTAATTTGAACAACCGGGGATTAGGAACTGGGCAAGATGAAAGTATGTCTTCTTCTAGAAACATCTGCTTGTCTTTCGTGCAAAGCCATCTGCCGCGCAATGTCCTCACTTCACTCTCAGAAAAATATGCTTGTCTTTCGCGTTTCTCCATTGCTTTTGTCTTAGCAAGTTGAAAGAATGTCTTCTAGTCAGTTGCATTGCGCAAATCCGTGCGTGCGCCATGTCGCTCTCGGCAACCGTCTGCTGCGCAATGTCCACGTGCATGAAGTTCGTGAAAAGATAGCGTCTGCTGATGCACGCGTAAGACAATTTGCTTCATCTTTCTAGGAGAAGACATACTTTCATCTTGCCAAGACCAAAAACAATGAAAAACTACCTGTCCAGACAGTAGATGGACAAATTAATCAAACCGCCAACAGTTGCGGCGCACCCCCCCCCCCGTACCCCCCAATGTCAATGTTACACTAAACACAAGCGCTTTTCATGTCATCGGGGTTTGATTTAATTCGTCCACCCAGCCCGACCCTCAAAACGACCAATCACATTGAAATTGGGGTTCAAGGGGGGGCGTTACAGTTGTAAGGGTTTGATTAAATCGTCCACCTACGGTAGGTATATTCTAGGGGGTCCCGGGTCAACGCTCAGACCAGAGGTCGGGTGAGGTTCAAGTTGCGAAAGCCATTGGTTGATCCCTTCCCCCTAAGAATAAAGGTCCGCTTAATTAAACAAAAAGTTGTTCCAAGCTGCTGAGCCCGAATACTAAATCAGAACGATCCAACTTGAAATCATTCGCAAACTCACGATCTCTCCCACCGACCTCTCTTCCAGTCTTATTAGGGGGCCCGCTGGCATCAGCCACCAAGCACCGCTTTTTGGAAAAACGAATAGGACACCACAAACACGGGGATTTGTGTTTATTAGCGGGGAGGCACTTTGTCGGGGGGAAGGGATTCAATAACCTTATGTTGGCTGCCCTTGAAGGTGGCGAGGGCCCGGTTCCGCACAGTCGGAAGCCGACTCCATCTCTTCGCGTTCGACTTCCTCAGCTCCACGCGCAGTGTCCTCGCAAGGGGGCGCCGTTTTTGAGGGACCCAAATAGTTTTAGCATGAGGCTGACACAAGTCTGCACCCATCACAAGTCATGACGTTCCTCAGGGATCAACTCATTCAGGTTGGTAAATAGGAACAACTCGCGCATGTACATATATATATATATATAGACACACATTCCTAAGGGTCCTTTTAACACCCCTAAGGCAACTTGGGATGTGGTACACCAAAGTCTGCATAACAAGCCCCAGGACACTTATATGTATGTATGTATAAATCCGCCGACATTGCTCGGCGTGTCGGATACTTACTAGAGGATAGAGGATAACCCCCCCCCTAACCCCCCCCCCGACGTCTATTACGTAGGTTTTCTTTTTGGGGGGGGGGGCACGTGCCGCGCGGCAATTTGATGACGTTCCACTAAACGTAGTCTTCGGGGAGCCGGTGTCGCAAAACAGGGGTCCCAGGCTCGATTCCCCCTGCCGGCTTTTTTGCTGGCTTGGGCTTCCTGCATCCTTTTGCCGAAAATCTGGAAAAACTCAATGTTTTTGGACGTCCTCTTTGCGAAAACGCTGGAAAAACCGTGTTTTTTGCGGGAAATACATACATACATGCATGCATGCATGCATGCATACATACATACATACATACATACATACATTACATACATACATACATACATACATACATACATACATACATACATACATACATACATACATACATACATACATTACATACATACATACATACATACATACATACATACATACATACATACATACATACATACATACATACATACATACATACATACATTACATTACATTACATTACATACATTACATACATACATTACATACATACATACATACATTACATTACATACATACATATACATACATTACATTACATTACATTACATTACATTACATACATACATACATACATACATACATACATACATACATACATACATACATACATACATACATACATACATACATACATACATACATACATACATACATACATACATACATACATACATACATACATTACATACATACATACATACATACATACATACATACATACATACATACATACATACATACATACATTACATACATACATACATACATACATACATACATACATACATACATACATACATACATACATACATACATACATACATACATACATACATACATACATACATACATACATACATACATACATACATACATACATACATACATACATACATACATACATACATACATACATACATACATACATACATACATACATACATACATACATACATACATACATTACATACATTACATACATTACATTACATTACATTACATTACATTACATTACATTACATTACATTACATTACATTACATACATACATACATACATACATACATACATACATACATACATACATACATACATACATACATACATACATACATTACATACATACATACATACATACATACATACATTACATACATACATACATACATACATACATACATACATACATACATACATACATACATACATACATACATACATACATACATACATACATACATACATACATACATACATACATACATACATACATACATACATACATACATACATACATACATACATACATACATACATACATACATACATACATACATACATACATACATACATACATACATACATACATACATACATACATACATACATACATACATACATACATACATACATACATACATACATACATACATACATACATACATACATTACATACATACATACATACATACATACATACATACATACATACATACATACATACATACATACATACATACATACATACATACATACATACATACATACATACATACATACATACATACATACATACATACATACATACATACATACATACATACATACATACATACATACATACATATACATTACATACATACATACATACATACATACATACATACATTACATTACATACATTACATTACATACATACATACATACATTACATTACATTACATTACATACATTACATTACATTACATTACATTACATACATACATACATACATACATACATACATACATACATACATACATACATACATACATACATACATACATACATACATACATACATACATACATACATACATACATACATACATACATACATACATACATTACATACATACATACATACATACATACATACATACATACATACATACATACATACATACATACATACATACATACATACATACATACATACACATACATACATACATACATACATACATACATACATACATACATACATACATACATACATACATACATACATACATACATACATACATACATACATACATACATACATACATACATACATACATACATACATACATACATACATACATACATACATACATTACATACATACATACATACATACATACATACATACATACATACATACATACATACATACATACATACATACATACATACATACATACATACATACATACATACATACATACATACATACATACATACATACATACATACATACATACATACATACATACATACATACATACATACATACATACATACATACATACATACATACATACATACATACATACATACATACATACATACATACATACATACATACATACATACATACATACATACATACATACATACATACATACATACATACATACATACATACATACATATGTACATGCATGCATACATACGAGAGAGGGAGATTGGGGAGAGAGAGGCTTGGGGGGATAGGGAGGATGGGAGCAGAGGGAGGGAGAGAGGACGACAGAACACACAAGGGAGACAAGGAAGAGAGGAAGAAGGAGAAAAGGGAGAGGACAATGTCGGCGGACTGAGCCGGAGGCTCTAAAGTAAATATGTATATATATATATATATGCAACCCCCCCAACATAACATGGCTTCGGTGTTCCTTTTGGATTCTTTTAAGCCGACAAAGAACAACTCGGTTGCTTTTTGCTCCCCCGCACAAAGTTTAACTTTTAGTGGTTTAACGGAAAGCCCAATAGTTGGCAAAAAGTTAAAGTCCTAACATCCAAGCAACATGCACCAAAGGCAAGATACCCCCAAACCAACCTTCGGTTGCTCAATGGTGTTTTGCCTTGCTTGCCTACGATGGCTCCCCTGGTTGCTATCCAACCTGACGGCGTGATTGCCCCCTCAAGTAGGCGCTTGAACCGACATAGCCAAGAGAAATAGGGCCTATGAACCAGTAGACCCCGGCTACTCCTGTAGGCGACCAATCCATCTCTATTATTTCTTTTTCAGTGGATCTTTTGGTTGCCTGTATTAATTATTTCAATACTAGGCAAGTACATGTGTATCATCTTTGACGGGTTGACTCCAAATTTCCCATGAGCTTCGTAGCATGGAGTCAAATCAGCGCAAACAGAAAATCGATTTGCATCATCTATACTTGTATGGTACTAATTGATACTACCCAGAGGCTCCAGGTGTTGAGACCCCCAAACACGCCTGGGGTGTCCAATGGAGGGGTCGGGTCTTCCATTGAAAGCCCCAGGAGCCTTTGGGCGGTATTCAAGTAAGCGAATCCAGGTGAGATTGGCCTACGAGAGTCCTCTGCAGCCAGCTCGCCATCGGCGGACTCTGCCCCCTGCGATGGAAACTGCCGTCCAACCAGATATTGACAACCAGACCTGCCAATCCCCGGTCCTTTGGTACCTCATTGCGGATAGGAATCTGAGTCCCTGAAAAAACCAAAGCCAAACCCATTCTTGGAAAAAGCAATCAAATGCCGGTGAATGATTCAATCATATTCAAGCGAATGGCTGCGGTTCGCGTCAAACGAGCTGCTTGCTACACGAACGAAGGGGTGAAACGGTTAAGCAAAAGTCTGGCATTTTACTTTAGGGTCGACGGAAGCCACCCCCACAGGTTAAACACTTGCCACACCTAGCCCCAGTTTGGGTAAATTAAATTCAGGAATGCCTAAGGAACTTTCATTCCTTGATTTGATGGACGTCTTGATCAACTATAGTATTGTGCCAACCCCAAATGTCAATAATGGTTCCTTATCAAAGGAACCTTGCCTATGGGGCGCTTTGAGACTTAGACCCCTGCAAAGGTTTGCTGTTTGATGGCTAGATCAAGCATGAAACAAACCCAAACGGGTAAAAGGGCAAATCAATATTATGCACTTTTCGCAACTCCCCGAACGGTCCAGCTTGCCGAGCTGACTACATTCATAGTATATGGGGAGTTGTCAAGTGTAACCCGGGTTATCCACGTACCACACACACCGGTATCGATCACCTTGAACAGATTTATTTATGGTGATAAGGCCCCCACAAAACGCTTACTTCTGCTGCTTAATTAGTCGGGTAACAATATTTTCAACCAGCAACACAACAAGAGAAAGGGCCAAGTCCAGGTACTTTGAAAGCCAAGTCCCGGTCTGATTTGTTGCTGTCAACATAGGAACCTCAGGGACTGAGGGATAACTCCCAACATAGCCTTCCCCTCAAAGCACGCAAACCCATACAAGCCAGAATTGAACAACAGACGCATCCAAGATCCCGTGACCATCCCTCGTAATTAACCCAAAGTAGGGTGAACACCACTGGCCTTCCCCAACCTGACGTTCTTGAGGTCCACTGAAAGGATCCCGGACAAACGTGAGCATGCACAACTGCCTTTGAAAGAGTCGTTTTGGAAAAGGAAAATGCGTGCAAAATCAAGTTTACTTGTGAAGGGGACTGTTTTTTGGCTTGCGCATCACAACTTGTACATCGAGCCAAGGTGGCATACCCCAAAAGCTCGGCCAAGGCACAAAAAGGTCACCCTACAAAAAGTTCATGTTGAGAAAGGCAAACCCTTCCTCCCCAAAGAAAGCAACAAAAACGCGGTGTCAGTGGGCAACTGGGACATATAATTTCCCTCTTCACCCCTTCAAAGCCCATTCGAGTGAACCTTGACTGGAGCAAGGGCTACATGCACATTCCAACATCTGCACGTTCGTCGCATGCCGGCTCGATTGCGCTAGATGACTGCGTACGAACCACTCATTATTGTCTTTGCACGGGGTTTCTGGCCTCAGCTGGGAATTTACATGCTGAGCATCCACAGGGTTTTTGGTACCACAAGCCTGTCAAACCACGCTCCGCGGAAGCTTTTTCTCAAATAGCAACAAATGTCAAAGCGCCCAAACACGGGACATGTCATGACCCGAGCATGCAGCAAAAGTCTCTCATCGCGAAAGCACCTCGGCACCGTCAGCCCGCTCACCTGAGCGAGAAGAGCAAAGTCTGTCAGCTGCTTCCCGGGACGAGATTTCCGCAATAGGCATGACCAGTGAGGGGGGGACTTTAGATCGCACGTGGAAACGGTGCATCACTCGAGTTCAAACCTGCATAGCAAGTCGATACAACCCCTTACCAGGATGCATATCCCTGTGCGACTAGGCTGCCCCGCTACGTTTTGAGGTGGAATTGGGCAATTTACGCTGTGATGCTGTTCAAGTGTCTGGCTTAACCACGGAAAACCATGTCTTGATCATATGTCTCCATCCCCCATGTGGAGTTTCCAACAGCCCAGTCTATTGCTTCCTTCGGGGAAGCAAGTGCAGCTTCTCATTTAGAGATGCGTTGGAGACCTGAAATGACTCGACAAGTCAGGCATAGGATAAGCGAATCTGACTTTGTGGGAGGTGACTCCAAGAAAAGCCAGGATCTCCGGTTGCACTTCCGAACGAAACACAAATCATGTTCAGAATGGTCATGTCTGTTTTCCTCAAGTGTCGATTCAAAGGGACAACTCCACAGTGCAGCATTGGCATCTTGCCGCAGGGATCAAACCCTTTTCATTTCAGTCAATCCAAAGGCAGCGTGTCCAGCCTGTCGCGTCGGACACTCGTCGCCTGAGAAGCACACGCTCGGCATGAATTGGCAACAAATTGAGGACTCGTCATTGACACACCCACCCGCCCGTCCACACACACACACATTCACCGCGTTTAAGATACTTAACAACTAAATAAGCAGGAAGCCAAAGGCAAGGCAGTCTGACATTTCAGGTGTTTGAAGAAGACAAACTCCCAAGTGCCACTCGCCAAATGGAGCAAACTGCGTGGTTTCGGCGCCTTTCGCTGGCTGAGTTTCCTAGCTGCCAGGCAACACCTCGATGAGTGCACTGGTAAGCCCTTTGCAAACCAATTTTGCTTGAGGTACCAGGACTTGCCATCCAAGCCCAGGCTAGCGTGCAATACGCAATGCCTGCTTTTTGGCGGGGGTATGCGGCAATACATCCCACACAGGTCAAAATGTCACCCGAACGTGCAACTCCAAGTTGAGGGCAACCTGGTCGGAGAGTTCCCAAATGTTCGCCGCAGCAAACCACTCAGGCTTTGTTTTCGTGCCCTAAAAAGCACAATTACAGGGGCAAATATCGATCATGTCCGTCATCGGGTATTTGCCAATATCGGTTATTCCACATAATTACCCTGAACTTAAACTACATGTCCTAGGTTCGGGGAATAAATATTTTGCAGAAGCGTTCCAAGGCTTGTAGACAAACTTCGCACACAGTCACTTTCCAACTGCCTCAAGCAGCTCGGACTCCTGTTGAGGGCTTTGCTTCGCCTGCATGGGATTGATGTTTGCTGGGGGACACGCACGTTAAGTTTTCAGATAATGTTTGCCATGGCTTAAAAAGGAACAACCAATGCATACTGTCGTGCTTGAGCATTCGATCATCTCCATGACTGGAACGGTTTGGTGTGTGGGGCGTCTCAAGGCGGATGGCCCCTTTTCTTATGTCGTGGGTTTCTTTAGGTGTCCCGTCAAAGCGAAATGAGACCTCCCTCAACACTTCTCAGCTTTGATGACACCAGGTAGGCGCCATGGAACCTGAAGTCCACGAAGCCTACAAACCAGCCCCCAGAAGACTGACCGGGGTTATGCCCAAAGAAGACCGCATTAAAATTTGCCAGGTGGCTGCTTGCAATAGGAAAGAATTCCAAGTCTGTGACGTTGGCAAGCCTTTGCCACCTTTACTTTGCGAAAGGACTGGCGTGCCTCAAAGAGGAAACCTCAACAGTTCGACGACTTGTCGGGCATGGCAGGGCAGGGACTCTAAATGGTTGGTAAATCACTGCAAATCATCCCATACACGGGCTCCTTTGGTTTTGCTGAGGGCAAATTGATGAGCAGCTGTGGAGGTGCAATCAAGGATGCAACCAGCTTTTCTGGACCACCGATTTTCAGACACGGCCACAGGTCCAGCAACATCGCACCTTCTGAAACTCACAAAACAAAAACCAGGAGATGTGTTCCACCGAGAACGCTTTCCCATAGGCCAGGTGACCTCCTAAAACAAAAAACGGCTCAGAATGCCCAAGCTCCTGGCGCGTCCAGACCCTGGCACTCGCGAGTGACAGCCATCAACCCATTGGACAGGGTACCGAACGGCCCAAATACCGTCGATCACTACCCGGATCCTCAAAATACCCTTAAAGATGAGTTGTTGCCCCACAATTATCAGTTTGAGGGCTAGGTACCGTTTTTTCCACGGCTTCGGAGCAATGCATGGTTCTCTGGCAAGGACCTTCAATGATCGAATATAAACCTGAAAACTTAAAACTCGTTTTCAGGCATGACCACAATCAAGTCCCCATCAAAAGCCCAACCCCGCCTCACCCGAACCACAACTTCATCTCGTAGCAAAGGGGACTTGGTCCGGGACAGGCTGGTAGCATGCGGCAACAAAACGCAAAGGCCTGCGGCTCAACTACAGCGCGCGATCCGCATGCAAATCTAAACCTGCCTGGACCCTCAAAACACCCTTAAACAACTGTTATTGCCCAAAGATGGAGTGGATCTCCTGTTTCATAGGTTAGTTTGAGGGTGCAGATGCCATGCTTCCCTCTTGTCTTGATGCAATATCGCAAGAATCCAAACTAGCTACCTAAGCCTTTACCCGCGACGAAAACTATTGGATTGATTCTGCTCCACATGTGGTGAACTTCAACAAATATCGTGTTTTTTTTTTTTTTTAAATAAGACTCTGGATAAGGTCGTTATGAGTGAACAGTAAATGCACTACCAGGTCTGATGCGGGCTTAACTTCGCTTCCCAGAGTAGAGGCTTCGTTAAAGGAAACCGCCATGATCCATAAGCTGGCACTTGGGTGATTTGGCGAGTGGTTTCCGCTGGCATGCTTGTGATCCTGAAAGAAGGATTGGACCCTGCCCGTTGTTTGATTTGTACGTAATTACCGCATTGAAATGTCCATCGTTCACCGTGAATTTTCGGTGGTGCAATAAAGTGGATCCACAAACATTGTGACTTCCGTGCTTCTTCTCTCAGTATGAAAGGATGCGTCCGTCGCGGACACTCAGTATCCTTTCCATGTTCTGACCTTCGCGCAGCAGCTGCGCTGCAAACTAAGTTCGTGCATGGCTGTGGTGGGCGTTAGACTTCTGCTTTAATTGAGGTGTACCTGGACCGGGTTATTGCCCTAAAAGTGTGCGGTGAGTTCACTTTTAAAGGGTAGTTTGAGGGTCCAAACGTTTGTGCAATCGCGGTTTCGACTGCGAATTTGCGCACCGGACATTGGCACTCAGCGCGAAAGTGCGAGAAACTGTCACCGTTCGCGGGTGGAGGGTCCCAAAGTAAGCTCACTTCCCGATGGAAGTAAAGGTCACGTCAGTCTGTCATCCCAAAAAGCATGGGTCTGACGCAAGGCGGGCCTTGCGATGCAACAAATTCACCAGGTGTCCAAAACGAGGCTCTTTTCAACCTGCAGTGATGCGAAGAAGGGCATCGTTGCTTGCTAACGAAGAAAACCCCTCCACAAAACAGGAGGGCACAAAGGAAGCGACCCGCTGGAGGTCTGTCTTCCTGCCTCCTCCAGCTCCATGGCCGACTTCACCGCAGCGCGGTGGCCTAACGATACGTGTGGCTTCGGAGAACCGCACCCCAAGGATGCATCCAATCCCCTCGGTAGGGGGCCCTTTTTAGGGTTTAGAAGGTAGGGGCCCTTCTGAAGCCCAAGGGGGCCCTTTTCGGTATCCCCTTTAAAAGGCGGCACAAGCGGCAGGTCCCAAAAGCGTCCATATGTTTGACAAGGACGACACAAAATCAACACGCCGCAAACTCTTCGCGGGGCTTCAGCCTCCAACTTCCGACCAACACATCAGCAGGCCCCGATACGGAAGGTGGAAAGCTGCCCGCTCCGCCCAAACAACCAAATGCGTCTGTCTGTTGGCGGCAGTTACCCTTTTGGAGTGGTTTTAAAGGGAAAGCAACAGTAAGCCGCTGCCATTTTTGGGAGTCCCCCGCAACAACACACCCAAATGCAAGCTGTATGTGCGAGCTTCAGCAAACATTCTACGTGCCTTACGCTTGTTTTGCTGCCTACATTGTACTCGAAGAAATCAAGCTGGTGGTTTTAAAGCATCACATGCCACGCGCAACACCCGTAGACACCCCTCTACTCCAAGATTCTTGCTCTTTCAGGTTCTCAAAAACAATCAGGTTCTTCGTGGGAAAACCCGTTCTTTGCAAACCATACAAATGTAAGGGTTTTGTATGGTTTTTTTGTATGGGTTTTAAAAGTAAACAAGGTGTGTCGTTGGAGAACAGCTTTGGTAAGCAACAGGTTCAAAACGAGTTTTTGGTGCTTATTTTTAGAAGCTCTTGGAGTAGAGGGACATGTATAAAGCAACTGGCAAGGCATGCTTGCAGACACTTGCCTAGCGGTCAAGAAGCCCAAAACAACGCGCACTCCCGCCATTCACATGCCACAACTCTTTGCTCAATCTGGCTACCGGCCTGGGCACTTCCCAAGAAAGCCGAACCCGGACTGACGGCTTCCGGAGACGGAGGCCCCGGCGGTGCGCTGAGGAGGTTCTGGCCGGCAGGGCCTCCCAGGCCTGACAAGTTGCTCAGACCCAAGCCCAAGGCCCGACTGGCGGCGTGTTCCTTTGCCCAAAGGACCCATAGGTGATCACCTTTGCGGGCCTCTAAACATGGACCAATAAGGGGAACCAAAAGCTCAAAAGGTCGGCTTTGGCAAGCGAGGTTCTGACCCAGTGGCAGATGCAGCTGAATGACCCTTGCAAGTTACAAAACGAAGCCAATAGCCACAAAAACAGAAGCCACTGACTGGAATGGAAGTGCTGAGACAGAAACAAAGAGCGGTCTGGGTTGCTCCCCAATGTACCATCCGCCACGGGGCAGCCTAAAAGCTAAATGTAAACCCTCCTCATGAAGCAACAAAAAACAACAGGGTTGGTGAACAAAGCTGGGATTCCTCAAAGACTGAGTTGAACAGCCCTTTTGGCAAGCTTGTGTTTGGCGGCCAACAACTGTTGCTTGCCTCAGGCCTGAATTATGAACAGCTTTCGCTCTCAACGAATATTTGGACATCCAGACTGGCGCTCGCAATTCGTCACGCCCGTCAGGAGGGCATCCGCCTGTACCCCGAGAATCGGTCAAGCCTGACTTCGCGCAACCTCACTTGATCGGAGGCAAAGGGCATGCATCATGAAGTTTCCTTCGCCAAGTCGAGTTTTGAACTCATCGAAAAGCAGCGCAAAAGGGGCAAGTTGCATCTTGAATCCCAATTTGCATGGCTCTGCCGCAAAAAGCCAAGGGCGCAAGAAGCACCTTTGCGCCAGCGCAGCTTTTGCCGCAAGATTTCATGGCGCAGCTGCAATCAAACAAGTTCCCAGGTCGAGTGTGACCCACTGAGTGGACACACTATACCTGAGGCGCATGAAGGAATATAATGAGTTCCCCATGACCGTCGCGCCCAAGAGAATTTAGGGAGTGCCCCGTGACCCTCCCAACTTGACCATGGACTACTGGACAATTTGACGACGCCTGACACACTCCTCCTGCAAGCCCTTCCCGCTGGTTGCGCCTCGCTTGCATGGGCAGCCCTGATAAAATGTTCGACTTATATATATATATATATAATGATGAAGCCAAGGCCACAATAATATGTATCACCCTCGTTTGATGGTTCAAACCACCTCAGAAGATTCCATTCAAAGCCATCCACAAACCTCCGGTTCCACCCCATTCACCGCGCGCGCGCCTGCTTCGCCTGCTGGATGGAGCTCCTGAGGAGCTCATGGCCGCGACAGAGGCGCTGCAGGTTCAAGTTCTCCCGGTCCAAGGCCCGCAGCACCTCGCTCGACTCGGCTCGGGGCTCGGGGCTCGGGCAGTCGCGTCACAGGTGGCTCCAAGCCGAAGGAGCGAAAGGTGATGACCCTAGGGCTCGCTGGGGAAAAGGACTTTGCCTCCACGAGATCCAAGGGGCGGCACGAAAGACCGGCCATGACAGCACCCCTTCATCCATTGAGTCTGCTTCGGGTCGCCAAAGTGATGATGGCATAAGCAAATCGCCGAGGGGGCAAGAAAACACCGTGGCTACAACAACTCCCCGTGGTTAGATAAAAGGTTAGCAAGTTACCTGTGGTGAGGTTCACGCTGGTCATAACCCGCATGATTACTTACAACCTTGCTCACCTATCTGCCATATCGACTGCACGCGGCTGTGGCCAAGTCGCAGGGGACTTGCTGCATGCCAGCCTCAAAGTTCGCACTCAAAACCTAAAGTCCACGATCGATCCTTCCACTTTGCATACTGGCGTGTGTGACCATATTACCTTCCTTGTCCCAAATGCGAACTGGAGAAAGGGGGTGGGTGTCTCAAAGCAACAAGCCAACAACAGAAACTGAAAGTGTTTGTATCCGCGCCCATACCTGGAAATCGGTTAGAGGCCCCCATGGCCTGAAGCCTTGCTCAGCCAGCAAAGTCTAGTGAAGGCAGTTGTGAGCATTACGCAAAAAAAACACATTCAAATTATGTGTTTTTTTTGGCTTAAAGACTTTTGCGGCTTCTCAAAAGCCAGCTACAGCCACTTGACAGGAGGCCAACCTCCAGCAAAATATCCACCCTTCCCCCCAAACCATCAGCAAATCATTCCCCCCTGTTCTCTGATAGGGAGGGTCGACAGCATTTAAGGCTGCCTCTTTTCTCCCACAAACAACAACTGGCTCAATCCGCCAGCCGCCGGCACCCCGTGGTACGTTCATATTGTGTCTCTATTGTTTTGATTTGTTGCCTGTTCAAAACAAAACCCAAGGATGATTGACGATTGAAATCAGCCAGAGAAGGATAAATATAAGACCACCTGGTTTCTGGTCACCCTTGTGGTGGTTTTGTTAAAGAACACTCACCGGGATAACACGCGTGTGTGGGTGTGTGTTATGTTTGCAGAAACATAGCCATACAGTTAGTGGTTGCTTCGCCACTTTGTTCAATCGGTCTTTTCCAAACAATCTGAAAACCCTGGATGTTTGGCGTTTTTCAGAAAAGTGTCAGATCCCCAGATATGTAGGGGCCGGGTAATTAGGTGGTTGGCACGGCTGCTATAACCTACTTGCCGTGGTAAGCCCAAATATTTTGGCCCATATCTGGGGCACACAGAAAAACATCGTTTCTGAATATGTTCCATACTGTGGATGTACGAAATCCTGCACCACCGAACAGACCTCGGGAAAATACGCAACAAACAATGGTTCCTCATCGTTTCAAAGTGGTGCGATCGGATTTCGTCCATCCACAGTATCTAGTCTACCCAAAATCACCAAACCGTTTTGGAGACCGCCAGGGGTTTCGTCATGCCCATTAGCCCCACGTCCCGCATCGACGGCACGAGCCTGTGGCCGAAGAAGTCGCAGATCTTCTTCCACCTGCACATGGTGGGACTTTGCGGCCCCAGGCGGAAATGAGTGCGTTTTTGAGGGTGGGTACCATTCTTCAGGTTGGCTTTGAACATGTAACCTGTATCAAATCGTATGCAACCATAGTTTATCGCTTAACGAACTCACTGTAGGTGCATTCTGAATTATGGTCCACCAACCACCCGGCATATGCCCAACATGGCCATTAATTTAAGAGATAAATTCTCTGGGTGTCACCTAAATGAATTGTTGGTAAGCCGTTCCAAACTCAATGCCAAGACAGCGGTCGTCTTCCGACACCCTATATAGGCTACAGGTGCTTGCCAACGTGTTGGACATGTTTTGCTTGGTGGAAAGCTGAAAACCACAGGAACCTGCGAACCAGCCTCTAACTCAGGAAATCAGGACAGCCCCGTGTGGCAAGTACCAGGTTCATTAAATCAAATGAGTGTTAAACATGAAATCCGCCCCAACACGGTTTACAGCTCCGAGTGTCTAGCAAGTAGGCCTTTTGGCAATGATTAACCATGACAAACAACTTTAGATTTTTTTCCCACCATGGCCAAACGGCAAGTGCACTCCATGTTCTCACCATTTCTGATTGCAAATGACTGTTATAGTCAAACCTGCTGCCCGAAATGGGCATAACATGGCTGCACTCATAACCTGATGCCCGAACCCCAGAGGGACCATAGACCAATGTTTCAACAAGCAAACACGGATGTCATGACTGTAATTTGAGTGTACGCCTCCTAGCTACCGGGACCCCACACCCTGGCAAATATCCACACAGATTTGACCCGGCCAAATGTGGCAGATATTTGGGGACACGCAGATTCGACCCAGCCCAAAATGAACCCTAAAACGGGGGGGGGTTTGTTTCAGATGGGCTACAAGAAGCTTCCCGCCTTTTTCCCTGAAAGCAGGGGGTTGGGGATGGGATGAGAAGACCTTCGGCGATTTTTGCTTGTACTCAATTTCGCAGATCCCCAGTCCCTTGGACTCCCTCCCTCCCCCGCCCAAAGAAAACGCAAACCCAACACACAGAACAAGTCTGTGTGCTTTTCATTGGACCGTCCCCCCCCCAAAAAAAAACGAATCCGCCGGCGCCCGAAGAAACCAAAAAGCTCCGGCGCCTGCATGGCCGGCAGGCGCTGCAGCAGCTGGCAGCACGCCAGCGCCAGGCCACGGCTCAAGGCCTGGGGGGGCTTCGGGGTCAGAGGGACCCCCGGAAGCTGCAAAAAATCAGTTTTTGTGGTTATGGGAAACCAGGTGTTCCAACCAAAAATGTGTGTGTGTGTGTGTGTGTGTGTGTGTGTGTGTGTGTGTGTGTGTGTGTGTGTGTGTGTGTGTGTGTGTGTGTGTGTGTGTGTGTGTGTGTGTGTGTGTGTGTGTGTGTGTGTGTGTGTGTGTGTGTGTGTGTGTGTGTGTTTTTGTCATGTCAACCCCTGACTGAAAAAGGAGGCAATAAATTCCCGTTTGTGTTTACCCACACGCTCCCGAACCTTCCAATGGAAGACCCAGACCCTCCATTGGACCCAGAAATCGGGAGCGTCTGGCTACGGTTTCATGTCAATCTTTGACTGAAGAAGGAGGAGGTAATTTAGCGTGGAAAGCGGGTTTTCCAACAACAACATGCACCCTAAAAACAAGTCCTTGGGGTTCCTCCCATACAAATTATCGGAAGGATCCTAGAAGGGGGGTCGATTCCCAAAAGGAGTTTCCTCTAAGAATACTGCTTATTAAAATTCCACGTTGATCTGTAAGGTAGAGGGTGGTGTAGGGAGTTGGGGTTGGAGGTTAGAGGTTTGGATCAGTGGGTTGTTTAGAGTGTCCCAACAGATCTGGCTTCAAGGGGAACTGCAGGTTGTGAAACCCGAAAGCAATCCAAGCCACCACCTGAGGGTAGACTGATGAAACCAACCTTGAAGAGGGCGCCATAAATAAATAAAAAAACACACACACACACCACGCACGCGCACAGGCATCTGCAGATCGAAGATCGTTTCCCCTTTGAGCTCTCCACAGCATAAGTGGAAGATCACGACCCAAGGGGTCGACGAACTGGGGGGTTGTAAGTCCGAACTTCGAGGTTGCAACTCGGGAGGTTGCTGATATCGCCTCCCGAAAAATCAACCCTCACCCCCCCCATTCTAGCAATGTCAGTGGTATGTATGTATGTATGTATGTATGTATGTATGTAGGTATGTAGGTATGTATGTAGGTATGTATGTAGGTATGTATGTAGGTATGTATCTATGTGTGTATCTATGTATGTATGCATGTATGCATGTATTTCTGAGATAGGACACGTGTTTCTCCGGCTCCATGCGAGTCACTGCACTTGCAGAACCTCCAAGAAGAGGATGGTTTCAAACACTGAACAGAGGTACCCCCCAAAAAACACACATACCTTGCGGCAAAAAGAAAAGCTGCAAAACCCTTTTCAAGGCAACCCATGCTAGCAAAAGGGTTTCCTTAAAAAGACCAAGCCCTCCAATCCCAAGACCTTATTTGAGGTCTGTGGGGTCAAAGGCCTTCATCTTGGTGGCTTTGACAAAATACTTATGGCCTTGCGCTAGGAGGGAAACATATGTCAGCAAAAACAACGCCAAAATCACGTGCGCCCACGTGGATTCAGTCGGCCACCTCTTGGTCTCCCGGCGCCCCGCGCCGGCGACTCAGGCCGCACCTCCTGAGGAAAACGAGCAGCGTGGATGGGCCAGGAGTCTCTCAGTTGCCTCCCAAAACGACCCCAGAAATCAAAGGTGATCACCGGAAAGGGGCCACTAAAGACGGTTGCCAAAATTGCAAAAACCCGAAGGTGATGTCAGGTCTTTGGACTGAGGTTTTGCCTCCAGACTTACTTCCGGACAGGAGCGGGTTCGCCAAGAAACGGGCGCCCAGAAGGCGTCTGGTCAGCAGAACATGCCTTTTAAACTTGTTCTGGGCAGCTTCAAACGGAGGACTGGCCAGGCGGCCTGTCATTCCAAGGGCATGGCTCAACACATTCCTCCGCCACATGAGACCTGCTTGTTGGGCTTCACCTCGGGATGCCATGCCACATATATTGCTAGGTCGCCACTGGGTCCAAAGTATGAGCCAACAAATGCCACACAGCGCCTTCACCTGTCGCATGCAGATTGGTTTTGAAACACCAACACCGAACCTTTGAGAAATCTCCTGTTGGACCCTCCGGATTGGCCAGGGGATTGTACGCCTATAGAGCCTTGGCAGGTGGCATGGAGCGCATTGACATCCAACCGATTGGATGCAACCAAAAGGTAGTTTCAACTACGACATTCCCGCGGAGAAGATGCTTTGGAGCTGACATGCTTGAGGGGAAATCTCGCATCAACCTGGCAGACAAATGCGATCCTAAAACAAACATGAAAAGGATTTCCTTGACACAAAGGATCACCTGTCGGGGATTTCCTCTATCAAACATGGCCAGCAACTCCCATGTTCCACAACCAGATCCTCAAATCAAAGGAAGCCAACCAACTTGAAGCCAGGGAATGACACTGTGTCTGAATGTATCTGCAGTCTTGAAGCTAGCGACCCTCAAGGTCAATCAAAGGATCCCCACCCTGCCACCAATAGAGACCCTGTTTGCATTTGCGAATGGGGAATTCGAGGCCCAGAACGGTTGCCGAAAAACAAGCACCCCTCAGCAGCTGGAGGGCTTGTGGCTCTGAACCAGGCGCTTTGCGGAATGCATTCCGCTCCCTTGGAGGCAAATCCTCCCTCTAAGGCACTAGGGCAGCATGCTGCTTTAGTCAACATGGGACCCTGACAGACACCTTCAAAACGGTCCGAAAGGTGAGCATTTCCTTTGGGTGGTTTCAAACATGAAGTTTTGCAATAAGCTCAGAGGGCTGCTCCAAAATGTCTCGCGCATCAGATACTTGGACGCTGGCAAAGGAACTAGCCGAAACCAAAAGTCTACCCTCAGGTCTTGCTCGTACATATATCCGCCGACATTGCTCGGCGTGTCGGATACTAGAGGATAGAGGATAACCCCCCCCCCCCTAACCCCCCCCCCCCGCCGGGGGGGGGGGGTCCCCCACGTACCGCGCGGCAATTTGATGACGTTCCACTAAACGTAGTCTTCGGGGAGCCGGTGTCGCAAAACAGGGGTCCCAGGCTCGATTCCCCCTGCCGGCTTTTTTGCTGGCTTGGGCTTCCTGCATCCTTTTGCCGAAAATCTGGAAAAACTCAATGTTTTTGGACGTCCTCTTTGCGAAAACGCTAGAAAAACCGTGTTTTTTTTGCGGGAAATACATACATACATGCATGACATACATGCATGCATACATACATACATGCATGCATACATACATACATACATACATACATACATACATACATACATACATACATACATACATACATACATACATTACATACATACATACATACATACATACATACATACATACATACATACATACATACATACATACATACATACATACATACATACATACATACATACATACATACATACATACATACATACATACATACATACATACATACATTACATTACATTACATTACATTACATTACATTACATTACATTACATTACATTACATTACATTACATTACATTACATACATACATACATACATACATACATTACATTACATTACATTACATTACATTACATTACATTACATTACATACATACATTACATTACATTACATTACATTACATTACATTACATTACATACATACATTACATTACATTACATTACATTACATTACATTACATTACATTACATTACATTACATTACATTACATTACATTACATTACATTACATTACATACATACATACATACATACATACTTACTTACATACTTACTTACTTACTTACATACATACATACATACATACATACATACATACATACATACATACATACATACATACATACATACATACATACATACATACATACATACATACATGCATACATACATACTTATGTACATGCATGCATACATACGAGAGAGGGAGATTGGGGAGAGAGAGGCTTGGGGGGATGGGGAGGATGGGAGCAGAGGGAGGGAGAGAGGACGACAGAACACACAAGGGAGACAAGGAAGAGAGGAAGAAGGAGAAAAGGGAGAGGAGAATGTCGGCGGACTGAGCCGGAGGCTCTAAAGTTAATTGAACAAAGTGCAACAACGATAGGGTGAGGAGGCTGGACATACATTGGATCCGAACATAGAAAACATATTTTGACCATATGACTCCTTGCTAGGCACGTAGAGAGGCTGCGGCGAGGGTGTGTCCAACAAATGCCCGGCACACCTGAGCGCCGAAGCGATGACGATCCCTGTGCCGACGGCAGCTGTGTGTTGGTCAGGGTACCCTTTGGGGGCGGGGCCTATATTTGTGTTGTCAGCTATACCCATGCAAGTGAACGTTTGGTTGGGCTTCAAAGAGAAACCAGGAAAGCTATGACAATTTCAAATGGATTCACGATTTTCGGAGAAAAAACAACTCAGCCTCATATTAAAAATACATTTCTCTGTGCGAATGAATTGATTTACCAACATAATATCACGTTCTGCATGGAGGATACCTGCATAAAATGCGAGGTCGCACATCCCCCACACAAAAAGACAACAAACCCTAATCCGCAAAACAATTATGGTATGCCTACATCTGTAGCATGTCGCTGTCTCAAATATAACTGGCACCCTTCAAATGGACAATGTCCGTGTGAGCCGCCTAAAGGGAGCCTACATGTTGGACGAGCAACTGGTGAAAGGGGATGGCTGGTGTGTCACACAAACCCGGCTTCAATCCTGGAGGATTCCCGATTCTCAAATCTTCTCAACCATCTGGGCAACTGGCTATTCACCAAACAGAAATCTTGTGGATGGACAAAACCCTGCACCAGTTGGGATAGATGAAACCCTGTCAATGGCTGACAAACTCATATAAAATCCAAAATGCCTGGTTTGTTTGCAGATTTTGTCCAGGAAGGAAGCCCAAGCTTTGTGGTCGAATAGCTCGGCATTTCCACGGGCCATTGTCAATGGATCCCTTCAAAGGCACGTACACGACGTACAACCAATTCTCTTTGGGGAAAGGCGAAACCTGCCATAGTCGGAAGCGATGGATGCCGCTCTGAGAGACCCCCAAGCTCTCAGCTGGGAAACCGAATAGGTAAGTTCCATCTTGATGTTTGGTTCTGGGACAGCACCCTAGATGTCGTAGTGTGTCTCCAAGGTTTCGCCTTCACATTCCCACTCTTTTGCAATCTCAACACTGTCACAAATCATAGGGGTTGTTCCAAAACAGAGAGGCCTACTTCGGCATGTTCGTGGAAAATTGGAAAAGAAACCGACTCCTCTACAGGGTGGCCTAGCTGTTCGGAAAATGACCGTTGGAGTGTGTCTAGGAGAAACAAAAACAAGACCAAGCAAGCCAATTGATGGCTAGTCTTTCTAGAGTTCGTGTGTTTGGGGTTCCCTTTCCGGGAGTGCCCCATGGCCGGACGGGGCAGAACAAATTGGACTCTCTGACGCAAGATGGGGACCTCGTCTGGATATTATATAAAGGAAAAAGCAAGAAGCCAACCTACCCAAGGGAAACGATCACGAGCCAAAAGACATACGAGTCGAGTCCAAAAAAAATGGCAGCATCGCTATCTTGACGGCAACTGCTTCACGGGTGAATGAGGCTCACTGAGCTTCAGGGCACGTCACGCATGCTAAGCTTTGGGTGCGTTGCAACGCACATCCGAATGGAGCCGCACGAGTTGCAAGATGCGCCTCACGGGAGACCCGTTGGCATAATTGGCACGGAACCTCGAATCTGGAGCTGCCACAAGGACATGCCACACCTCCAAAATCACACTTCGCTTGTTGAAGTCTAATTGCACGCTCGGATTTGGGCTCATTCCAAAGGTTTGGAGAGCGGCAGTTCTCCGAGCATGCCTTCGATGCTCTGGCATTCAAATCGTTTAAACGATTCCTCGAAAGTGACATCTGAAATGAAGCCGGACAAAAAGACACATGCATCGGAAAGAACCAACGCAACGCCACTGTCTTGACAGCAACTGTTTTGCAAGTGAATGAGGCTCACTAAGCTTCAGACTGTGTCACGTAGCGCATTCTAAGGGGAAGAACTACAGGGAAAACCCCCATACTCACATAGAGCTGGACAATCCTTGCTTTCCGCCCGCGCAAGCAGACCTAAACCAGAGGATGCTTGGCCAGAAGACATGCTGCTATGGCTCCAACAGACTGCAGGCCACACTTGCTCCAAGCTTCCCGCCTTGATGTACAAAGATTGGCATTGCTTCAGCTTGCAGATTGACGCCTTATTGCCCCTCTGCGTTTTGCCCCTGAGCATAGCTCTAGTCAAAGCTGACTCTTCACACACGCCTTTGGGGGTCCTCTGTTGGCACATCAAATAGAAATGGGCAATCCTTGTTTCCGGCTCGAGCAGACTTGGGCACCATGTGTGGCACTCTGGCCACACATGTTCTGTGGAAACTTGGCCCCAGACCGCAGGCCACTGCTCCAAGCTGCCAAACCAATTTTACGCCAATCGGCATTGCCTCAGACTAGACTGACAGTGTCTGACATTTTTTTATGCCTTCTAGCATTACACTTTTGCACTTGCCCTCATTGCCAGTCGGGGTCTACTCAAAGCTGTGTCTCAACATCCAGCCAAGGAGGGCAACAACAACACACCATTCCAAGTGCTTCAGGCGGGGAGCATGGCACGGTTTATGGCAAAAAGCGAATGGACATGCTCTGTACTGGCGAGGCTGCGTCGAGTTAAAGGCTGTCAGGCACATAGCTCGGTAAGATGCGGTTACAGCTTCACAGCATGCCTAGAGTAAGCGGCCAAACAGGGATGGAGGGAAGCTCGCTGCCATCGCCCCAACCGTGGCACTCTGGCGCAGCCACATTTTCAGCAGAAACCCGGCTCTGACAAACAGCTGGCCATGCTGGCTCTAAGCTTCACGCCTTGATCTACAAAGTGCATTGCTTTAGCCACAGACTGACATCCTTCGTGTTCCTTAGCATGCCTCCTGTATTTTGCCGTGCGCATAGGCTAAGTCTTAACATCAAAGCAACGCAGCAACGCGGCTACGACCAAAGTCACAGCAAGTGCTCATCGCAGAATCTAGCATTGTGCATGTCATTATGGGGCAACACTTCCCAAACCGGAGCACAAAGGAATACTTGGCCCATGGATATGCTCTGTAGAAGTCTCGAGACTGCATGCCACATTTGCTAAAAGCTTCCTGCCTGGTTCTGCAAAGATTGACGCTGCTGCAGCTGAAGACTGACATCTCTTACAATTATTTGCACGCCCACTCGCATTTTTCCCGGACCTTCGCTCGCTGGATCTAGTCAAGGCTGATTCTCACAATCCAGCCAATGCAGCTATGAAGAAACGCAAAAATGCCTGCAGCTACGACCCAAAATCATTCCAAGTGGCGGCAGAATGGAGCCGTGCGCATTTCACTGTGGCGCTATTACTTCCACGGCAAGCAGAACTGAGAGCCAGAGCCTATTTGGCCAGCGGATTTGCTCCGTGGAAGCTTGGCTCCAAACTGCAGGCACATTTGTTCCAAGCTTCCCGCCTTGTTCTACAAACATTACAGACAACATTGCTGTTTGCGTTTCCCTCCTTCATTGTCACCGGAATCTCTCTCGCTGGATCCAGTCAAAGCCGATTCTCAGATTCCAGCCAATGCAGCTATGAAGAAACGCAACAATGCCTGCTACGACCCAAATCACTCCAAGTGCAAGCGGCAGAATGGAGCATCGTGCCGTTCACCATGGAGCTATTACTTCAAAGGCAAGCCAGAGCTGAGAGCCAGAGGATGAATTGCCCTTGCACGGTCTCCCGTCACATCTGATTCTCAATGTCACACTCAACATCCACCCCAAAGCAGCTATGAAGAAACGCAACACCTGCCGCTACCACCCGAATCAGTCCAGGTGCTCGCGGCGGAAGTGATCCTTGCGCATTTCAGACTACGTCCAGGGCAGGCAGACCTGAGAGCCTGCTCTGTAGAAGCTTGGCCTTGGCTCAAAGCTGCACATGTTTCACACTCTTTGAACCACCCTGTTGCGCTCCCCCTCGCATCTGGTCAAAGCTGAGTTTCCACATCCAGCACAACGCAACTATGAAGAAGCGCAACAATGGCCGCAGCTGCGACCGAAATTACGCCAACCGCTCGCGGCAGAACGGAGCATGGTGCACTTCACGATGGCGCAGTTACTTCCAGGGCGAGCAGAGCTGAGAGGATGTTTGGCCGGACATGCTGCGGTTGCAAGCCACACCTGTCCCAAGCCTCCGCTGCCAAGCACGTAGCTCGTCAGGATCGGCTTCACATCATGCAAAGGTTGCAAGCAGCATGACATCTACAGTTCTTGGCACTAAACTTTTCAACTGTTGCTTTCCCTGAGCATAGCTGGCTGGCGTCTAGTCAAAGCTGAGTCTCAACATCCAGTTCAATGCGGCAGACATACGGCAACGCTCGCTGAGATTTCAAGTGCTCGCGGCTCCACTGCGCATTCTAATATGCCCAATAACTTCCAAGGCAAGCAGACCTGAGAGCAGGAGGGTTTCTTAGAGGTTTGGCTCCTGCTTCAGTTGCAGACTGACATCTTTTACATTGCTTGGCATTGCCCTCCAGCATTTTTCCCTGGACTCAAATCACTCCAAGTGGCGGCAAAAGTGGCGCTATTCCTTCCAAGGCAAGCAGACCTGAGAGCCAGATGTTTGGCCATGTTCCATAGCTTGGATGACAACCTACACTTGGAAGCTTCCCCGCCCCTGAGAGGCTTGGCACCGCCCAGGCAAATCACAGAGAAGTCTTCAACCATGGCGAGCTTCGGGGCGGCCGGGAAAGTTTTGGAACGTGCCAGGATAGGAAGTTGTGCGATCTGGAAGTCCTGCAAATTGGTTCAAGTCGTCTGCTCAGGCATCTTCACGAACACTTCGTTTGACAAAATGAAGGAATTGCGACCGGTGCACTGCTGACTGCATCATCATCACCACCTCGACCGGCTAGTGAAGTTTGTTCAAAAAAGGGGGGAAGCTAATTCTGCTAGTTCTTCTTTGTCCACTTCAGGCATCTTCGCGAACACGTGTGGTTGCGACTGCATCATCACCACAACAACCTCTGAGGCGCGCGCAGTGATTGCGAGGCTTGGGGTTAAGAGAGACGGCGGGCAAGGAATTCCTGGACAAAACCTGGGCAGCAGCGGATAAAGGCCTCCGAGGCCCTGAGCCTACGTGGCACTTTGAGACGCCGAGACGCGGGAGACATTGGGCTGGCCCCGTGGCAGTTGCCAGAGGCTATCCTGTTCGGAAGGCATTCGGCAAGGGCATGGCCATCCTTTGACCGGCCGAGCTGCGAACCACGTGCCTCGGACAAGCTACCAAGCTTCTAGTCTAAGATTGAAACATTGCTCACCCACTGACAAACTCCGAGCCCTGAACACAGAATTTACAATTGGTGTGCTCATACACCTCATCCTCGTTCTTTTGCTAGACTGCTCCGCAAAGAAACAAAATCCGTTCGGGTCCACCCTGAATATCACGGGCGTTCGCCCAAAGAGCTCAAAGAACTTTAGCTGGGGCCCCTCGGCAACAAGGCGGTGAAAGTCCAGCCGCTTTGGGTCACCGGGTTTCATTGGACCCTGATGGGTCCGGGCTCTCCATTTAGGCATCAATGGTTGTACCGCCAAAATTCTGAGACATACCCCTGAAGGCAAAAGGGTAAATTAGGGGCAAATAAGCTCTAAATTATGCCTCAACTGTCATATGTCTTCTTTGGGGGGTTGGTCTGGGAGTGGGGGAAGTCTTTGAAGGTAGCCCCCGTATTGCAAGTCGTCTTGTGATAACTTCCAAGGTGTGCCAAGCCATTGGCGGCAAAAAGCATTCGGAACTGCTGGATGACAAACTCCTGCACCAGTTCGAATGGATGAAACCATATGTATATATGTATATATATATATATATTTGTATAATATATATATATATGATGAATGGTGCTTTCTGTGAATTTTGGCCACCCAAAGTATGAAAGGCATGCGATTCGGCGCGACCAACGTAAGCTGGCCTCGCAAGTGCTGAAGATGTCGAGGAACATGGGGTTGTGACGTGTTTTTTAGGGTACCCCTTGGATCTGTTGCAAAGGGAAGCCAAAAGGAAACAATCAGCCAATTTGAGGGGTTTCCCTATTAAAGTCGGCCTTTGGAATGGCAAACCGTTGGTGTGCACAGGTAAACGGAAGCGCCGCGCGCGATGTTTGTGTGTTTCGGTGTGGTCAATAACACAAACATCCTGGTCAGGACCCTTTATGGGAAAACTGGGTTTGAGCATTGTTTCATTAAAAAACGAACGTCATTCAACATTGCATTTTGAGAAGGTCACATTTGCTTTTGCGAAAGGGTTTGAAACAGAGTTTCAAGAAGGATTAAACAGGCCCTAACCCACCAACAAGAAGAGTTTCAGGGGCAAAGCGGTGCCCCCGGCTGGCGCAACAAGAGCCAAAGGGGTAACCAGGTAAACAAACAAAAGAATACGCCCGCGAAGGGCAGCAAAAGCAAGTAGCGAAGCAGCAGCACCAAAGCAGAAGAGCGCGCAAGCCAAGCAACGCAGCAAAGAAACTAAGTGAAAGCGCAACTCCCCTGACTCCCAGCCAGCGCTTTTTAGCGGTAGACGGGCGAGGTGCTGTGAAGCGGCTCGTCAGGCTATGATAAAAGTACATGCCCCTAAAACACCCCCTCGCCTGTACCGAAACGAGATGAGGGTTATATAGGCGTTAGCCATGCTCCACTCGATGTAGAAAAGAACAACACAACGAAGCGGTCATAGGAAACCAGGCAACTCAGCCGCAGCTTTGTGCCCAACCACCACCCCAAATTGCGGGGCTGCGGCGGCTCACCAATCAAGACATGGATCCAAGAGCAGAAGCCAAGTTATCGATGGGAGCCAGGACATGCTCTCTACACTTGCCATGCAAACCAACGCGGCTTGCAAATTCAGTGGACGATGCTTTGGCCTGAGTGGGCTGATTGAGACGTGGTGCATTGATCAAAATCACTGATCGTTTAAACCAGCAGCATTAAGCGCGCGTTCACTGAATCAGCTCCGGCAGGAATGCCACCGAGCCCACAGCGGCGCGAATAATTAGGTCATCACCGCGGTTCGGAGCAACAGCAATAGACCGTGCCGCAACTACTACTACCGTCTAAGACCGGGCACCTGAACGGACAGGAAGCTATGTGGCAAGTAGCGCATACATATGCCCTAAAACGCAGGACGAAGGGTAAGCATCATCAAGGAAGCGCGGTTAGACTATTTCATCAAAGAAACCCTGGCCTAGGTCCATGGATCACATGAGCTGGGTACACTTACTCTTTTGCATAGAACCTGACGATCAAGACGTTGCATATTTTCCCAGCCGTCGTACGCAGCTGACCGGAAAGCCTGCATGGACATCATGATGCATCCCGTAACAGGGACCATAGCAGGGTCCAACGAGCTGCAAATTGGCCTCACCTTCGTTTCGGCCCATGAGGCGGCGACGATTCTCTTGTCCTCCCGCTTTCCGCATCAGGTACCGGGTAGCAAGAAGGTCCTCGGCACCTCTTCATGGCCGCGGCATCGCGCGTACCATGAAGAAACATATTTCTAAGCCCACTACCAACCGCGCCTCGATTTTCCGCCGCCAACCATGATCTTTTCACCAGCATCTTGAACCCCCTGAAGCTTGAAAGAAAACAAGATCAAGCCGCCCAAGACGCAGGGTGTCACCCAGTGCGCCCTTCGGGAACACACCTTGGGCATAAACCGATTTCGGTACCACACTATGAGATAAAGGCCCTAAGCCGCTCCTGTTCCTCCCCGTCTACATTCCAGGCTTGGCTGTCATAGTACGGGGGAAATGTGACGTTTTGAGCCATACCCTCAAAGTACAACTTGAAGACTGTCATGCACAATGTGGTTCATAACATCCACACAAAAATATCTTCCAAATTGTTCTCACTGAGCTCGTCGAGATTTCCATCAAGCCCAACGAGAGGAAGGAAACTGAACAGGATTACGCCATGTGGCGGAGCCTTTTTTTTCTCGACGACGATGTCGAGGGTAGAGTGGCAACGATGAAGCCTGGCCCAGCCCTTGCTTGGCATTCAGCTGTTTGCCTCGACAGCGCTTTGGTTTTCCCGACCTTGGAAACTGTATGGAAGGCACAATGATTGTGCTGATGGATGGTCGACACCTCCCTTTTAACAACGCTTGAACTGAATCCGGTCATAATTCGTACATCTGGGCTGGTCTCGATTATCTCAGTGATTTGGCACATCCTTCTCGACACATTGGCCTTGTAGCAGTCAGATGCTTATTGGAGGTTACGGCAACCTTGCGTATCTCAACATGATTGACTTGATTGCTGCCCATTCTTTGGGCCGAACACGTGATCATGAAAGGTGCCGCCGGCAACACTGACAGCTGTTCACTTGCGCGATGCGTCGAGCCTGGCTGAAATCCGGCGGTTGTGTTGCGTTGTCCTCTTCTCGGTTTGCTCCGTGTCCAGTTTGGACGCACGAGATTGCAGTACACAAGGACCATAGGGCCACCGCAAGAGTGGCGGAGCCAAATATCCATTTATTGTTCGCATACGTAAGACAAACAGCTGCCTCTCGGACTTGGTTTTAGCGGCTTTGGTTTTTGGGAACTCACGCCGTCTGGGCAAGGCAGGAACACATGCATTAAATCGCAACATAAGGAGCTGCTGAAATTACGAGTTGATAGGCTTACTCGTGGTACTGCCAAACGAAAAAGGATCCTATGGGCGTCCTCACGCATGCCCAAGGCAAAAGTGGAGCCTGCATCAAGGTCTCAAGAGACTGAGTGCTGAAATCTATGAAATTCCTCGCCCATAGGCATAGGCAGCACACCACCGAGCAACAGATTCGATTGGGCACGGACAGCCGCATATTTAAGGCATAGTTTTGAGTATCACGCTCGCCACACGACAGGCAGGATCCGGGCAGGAACCCCCCCTACAAGATAAACCACCACTGCTTGCCTATAAGACGCCTCCGAAAGGAGGGTGGCTGCAGAATCAATGGCCGCAGATCTTCGCGCACCGGTTCTGAGAGTGAGCCTGGATGGCTCGCTAACCCTATCCATGTGATCCGAAGACTCGTAGGTCACAACAGAAAATGCCACCTGCGGGTCACTATCAAGACCTTCTTTTTTGGTAGGCAAAACTCAACAAAAACAGAGCACGGCCAGGAAGAGCCCCTAACTCGCGTCACTGGATTTCCCCTGATCAGTTGCAGCTGACCGGCGCATTCCACCAAAATTGCCACTGTATGAGGTCCACAAAAGTGAAATTGAGAAACCTCTGCCTACTTAGAGGGGCCAGGCACTTGGTAACTGGTTAGTACCCATGGTTCTAGTCCACCAAAGCCATGCTACACCCTTCCGTGTGTCTTGTGGACTGATTTGCCGCACACTCCCAGGGGAAATCGCCCCGCATCCAGTCGCGCGGGTGCTGAGCTCGGGCCGCGGCAGCTCGGTGAGCTCTTTGGCGCGAAGCTGCAGCTTTTGACAGGCCTGCCGATAACTTCGAAGCACCCGAGAGCACTGAGGAACTTGTTGATGGGGATACCTGGGTTGCTCAACTTTGGAGTTGGTGCCACATTGCCGCTGCTTTACATGGACGGGGAAAACGGAAGCCCTTTTTTTGTGGGAGGGGGGGGGGGGGTCAAGGCTCAAGCTGTAGCTTGTCTGCCTTAGCGGGCATTCAATTGTTTGCCCGCGCCGGAACCTGGCACCTCGACCCCGCTTGCCATAGTGGAACCTACCTGGCACCGGCGGTTCAGGCGCCTGATTAGGTCAAGATCGCGTTTCAGGCTGAGGGCCGCATCCGAAGGCCTGGTGAGCCTGGATTCTCGTGAAGAAGCGCTTCACTGGCATCGCCTCTGCAGTCATCACTCCTGGCCTATGGACACGCCCTGGACCTGCCATCAATGCTGGGCGGAATCACCAATCACCGCCAGCTTCTGTGGCAGCTGTGGCAAGCAGTGGTGGAGTGCCAAACGGCCGGCTGTGCCGGCAGCCCAGCCCTGGAAACAGGAGTGGAATGGCCCAAGCGGGCGTGCGAGAAAAAGAAGCAGCTCAAGCCGCAGAAGGAGGAGCTCCGGAAAAGGCGACAAAGGAAAAGGCAAAGGCAAGTTGGATGTGGGCGAAGATCCTTGGCATCCAGTGTCTTCCTACCATCAACCGGGGGATTGGGCGCCGCCCATGGTTGCTTCTACATCAGTACGCTCCTTGCCGTCTACCTCGGCTTCCTCGCCACCATCGGCGGAGGTGATGGACCTCATGCAGTCCTTGCGCAAGGCCTATGTGGACACGCAGATGCCGGAGGGTGTGAAGGAAATCCTGGAACGAGCTGGTCTTGGAGCTGCCAGAAGGGTGCTCCAGGATTCTCAGGCGGCTCAGACCAATCTGAGGAAATCGTGGTTGGAGCATCTGGAGCGCACCTTGAAGCAGCTCCAGCACCAGAAGCAGGAGTTCGGCAAGCAACTCCAGGAGCTCCAGGCGACGGAGGCCAAGGCCAGGACCGAGTTGCGTCAGGCCCGTAAAACACTGACCATGCTCAACACGCAAGCGGCCGCCGCAGAGGATGGCAAGGCGCAGATCATCAACGAGGAGCCGGACAGCGAGGGCGATGTGGAGCTCGTGGCGGACATGGACACGGACACCTCCGGGCAGAAGAAGCGCACGGGCCAGGACCTCGAGGAGTTGGAGAAGCTCGAGAAGACCATCCTGACCACGATCACCTCCTGTGTGCAGAAGGACGGCGCAACCGGTGGGAAGACCAAGCGGCGAGCACAGTTGGAGCAGCCTACAGACCCGTTGCAGAACATCAATGCCAAGCCCGAGGAGCCAGTCCCCAAGTGGCCGATGCGCTGATGTCCGAAATGGCCCAGTTGATCAGGGTGTGAAAGCACGGATCAGCTTGGAGTGCAGCCGGCCAACCCGGAAGGTTAGGTTTTTGCCTGTTGTGGAGGAGCTAGAATGTAGCTGGTGCTATGGAGGTGCCTCTCACAGCAGATGGCTGTGGCTGTCTGAAGATAGCCATCAGAGGTGCGTTGTAGCTCCAGTGAACTTCGAGCAACCCCCCCTTTCTTCTGGGAATGGTTTGTGGGAGTGGAACCATTCCGTGTGTGGTGAGTGGGACGTTGTTAGTTCCTTCTGTGCGCAAGCCCATGCTCTTCACCTGCAGTTTGAGTTGCAGGTCGAGCATATTGTTGAGTGTCTAAGAGATCTTAAGACCCAGCAAAATCTTGTTGAATCTGAGCAGTTGCTGGAGAGTCGGGCGCTCCACGGTAGCTCTGCTCACAAGACCACCACAAGAGCTCAAGCGAGCCACGAGTCTAGTCTTGGGCCGGTGGCAGCCCACTCTCCTACCGCAGCTGTTTACCAGGCCAGACTGCATGGCCCCCCTGAGGATTTTAGGCTGTCGGTCCCCGCATGGCAGGAGAGTGGAAATGCTGAGCTGATCAACTACGTGCATTGGGTTGGCCGCACTAAGACGCGATCACGGGGGGAACGCGGTAAGTCGGTCAACCCAAAAGAGACCGTCCGCAGTAAGGCGAGACTACCCCCACGCGGTAAGTCGAGCGGTCTCCAGTCCTTCGATGACAAGGATGCAAGTCTGGCCCAGAGCCATGAACCCCCAGCCGCCTTGGATGCCAAGCGGTCTGGTCTTGGAAACGGTTGGCCACCCCGGGAGACCCAGAGTAAGGCACAATTTCAGATGTGCAGCAATAAGTCGGGATGCGTTGACATTTCTGGTACCGACGTCAGGGACATGAGAGTCATTGTCTTCTATGAGAGCGGGCACTTGGCATTCGACCTGCCCGAGCACGCCACCTTCAGAGATGTTAAGAGAGCGGTATCAGAACGGCGTTTGGAGTTCCAGGACTTTTTCCTGGTTTAGGAAGAGGCGGAGCTGCTTCCTGGATTTGTTCGTGGTTAGATCGAGCCGGTTGTCTTCACTTTGCAGAGAGGCCTTGGGGTGTTGGCCGAATCCCAACTCTGTGTCGTGGTTGTGGAGGACAGCGGCCGGGTTGTTCCAGTGATGGTGCATAGACGTGACAGAGGCATTGATGTGTTGTGCAAATGCGACCTTCAACCTCAGCATTACTTCCTACAGGCGGGAGGTGCGACTTTCCAAGATGAAAGACTCCCGTGCACACTATCCACTTCTATAAGGCGAGCTGTCTTTGGCGTGGAACTCAGTGTTCCATTGCTGAGAACCCTTATGGCTTTGGGATTCGCGTGGATGGGCCTCTCTCTGAAGGCATGGGATCCACTTCTGAGTCACCAGCTACACAAGAGCACTGGACCGATCCTGAAGAGCATCGAGATCCAGAGGAGCCTGATGATGAGCCGGAGGATGAACCCTCGGATGTGTCCGACTTTGATAGAGACGCCATCACGCTCCTTGCCTACCGCCCGCGATTCAGAAGCTTCCTGGTGAGGCATGTTCCCTTCAATCTTGCTCGGGCGGACATGGAAATTGCGGTCAGGGAAGGATTGTTGCGTGCTTGGGATGAAGTCATGCCAATACCACACGATGGATTCGAATGGGTCAGCGTCACTCCGCAGCCGAACAGATATGGGGATCAGTTGCACACTATTTCCTACCATGTTGATTGGCTCGACGGTCACGTTTTCACCTTGGTCCAGTGGAAGGAGGGGGAGAGCCTCATCAAGCATCAAGTCATCCGGTTTCTGGTCTTGCAGACTCGAGGTCAGGTTGTTGCAACTCTTGATGGAGAACTTGAGGAGAGGGCTGAGTACGACCGTGCAGTAGCGCTCACTTGCCAAGGCCGTGATTGGCCTGAAGATGATGGAGCACAGCGGCGTATTGAGAATGGAGCACTCATCGTGATCCGGGTTACAAAGAGAAGATCCATGTCGAGGAGTCGCAGCCCCACACCGCATGGTGCCCAGCGTGGTGGACTTGCTGTTGAAGGGGAAAGAGAGGATCCGCCAACAGATGCAGGCCCACTCGGTGCCGAAGTGAGAGACGGTGCTCCTGGTGCCGACGGGGTCTTACCTTCTCGAGCTGGTGACGCTGACCGTCACCATATCGCTTCTAGACATCTTGTTGTCAAACGTGTCAGTGATCTCGGTCGACTTCTGCGACACCCCTGGTGTTCTTCACCACCGACTCATTGGCCAGCTCATCTTGAGTGCCATGAGGATGTTCAGCGTGTAATGCAAGGAGCTCAACAGATCAGCGAGGTCTCGGAGCTCTGGATCTTCACCGACGGTTCAGCAGTCTGGGATCATGAGCGTGGTGAGAAGCTTGGGGGTTTTGGATGCGTGGCAGTTGGAGTCGGTTGCGACCCGCGGTTTTATTCCGTATGTGCCTTGCTTGCAGGGCCGGTGACGTGTGATCAGCAGAGTGATATTTGGAAAGACGCCCTTCAAGCCACTTCTGGAGTCGCTGAGATTGAGGCTCTGGTGTGGGCAGCCCTTTGGTGCCTCCAATGGTCCGGAACGGAGTCAGCCAGTGCTACATCACGGGTTTTCGTGGTTTCGGACTATGCCGCCGGTGTCTTTGGGTCGGCCGGCAATTGGAATTGGCCGAAGGTCCCGCTGCATAGCGAGTGGGCCAGGTACCTTTGGAAGACTGTGGAGCAATGTTTTCAGGTGTCCTTCATGTGGACCAAAGCGCACTCTGGCTTCGGATGGAACGAGGCGGCCGACGCTTTGGCAGGCAAGGCGGCTTCTGACCAGCTGTTTAATTTCGTGCCGGAGGGTCCCGTACTCGCCCAGTTTGACTAAGCTCTTCGTTGGGTGTGGATGGATCAAGCCTTTCATGCTCAATCGCATGTGTTACCCTTCTTCCAGAGGGACAAGATTGAGTTCCCGGCGTTGGAGCAGACGGTCAGCTCCCTGAAGGAGAAGAGTGGCACAAATGTGGTGGTTGGTGGCGATGGCGCAGTTCATTATGCTCTTGATTTCACTGCGGTGTCGATCAATGTGCAGACGCTCCACCTGAGGAAGGGTAAGAGCGGACTGGCTGGTCGGGCCCAGGCCATTCTCAAACAATGTGAGCAAAGTGGCTGGGGAGTGGTGGGCATTCAAGAATCCAGAAGGAAAACCGCTGGCTCTTGCCGAGCCGGTTCGCATCAGGTTTTCTACACAGCTGGGGTAAACGGCCAAGCGGGTGTTGCGGTTAGTGATCACCGCCAGCTCGTAGTCAAGCTGCGTCTGGAGGACTTCAAGCTTGCCTTGTGTGTGGCTCATGCTCCTCACTCCTTTCGCCCTGAAGCCGAGCGCAGAATGTTTTGGGCTTCTTGTCGCGCTAATTGGGCATCACTTCGGGGTCAAGGATTCGAGATGATTTGCATGATGGATGCCAACGCTCGACTGGGCTCAATCACCTCTCACGCTGTGGGAGAGTTTTCTGCCGAGATCGAGAATGACAACGGTGCCGAGCTTCACAGTTTGGCTATCGACTTGGGTCTGTTCGTTCCTTGTACTATGAAGGACCGCTTCCGGGGGGAGGCAGATCGCTCCGGAACCTGGTA